AAACTGGGCAGGAAAGTGCTCCAGCTTGCTCACCACAGAGTGAAAAATCCAATCTCTGTGACCAGAGGATTAACTACCGAGGGGTTGATCATGAGCCAGAGGGAATATCCCAAAAGCACAAACTTCAGAAGGACAGGACAAGTGTGGAGTCTTAGTTGCCCCACCCCCTACCCTGATTCAACCATGGGACAAACGGTGCAATCAGAAAAGGTTGAAAAAGACCCCCACAGAGATGAGGGGTGAGTCTGGGGCTGACCTAACCCCCTCTTCCCCAGCAATCATCTGAATGTCAGACCCACAGGGCTGGGACACGACTGAGAGGGACAAACCCAGGCAGAACCTGGACATCAACCATGATAGGTAGATTCTACTCCAGGATAAGCCTAGCTCAGGCACCCCCACCAGCACCTGGGGAAGAGACAGTCCCAAACCTCCCCACTGGAGGGATCCCCCTGGCCATAAGAGACTGGGAGGGGAGGACTGAAGCCCTACCCACCCCGACCACCTTCTCCTTCTTCCCCCAATGGACACTGAGGAGATTGTGAATAAGGCTGCATCTCTGCAGGAGACAGCAGAGTGGCTCACCTGTGAGTAGCTGAGAGGAACAATTACAGAACCTGCCACAAGAGGGCAGGTTGTTTTTTGGCTTTTGTCTTTGTTGTAATTTTTTTTCTTTTTCCTTTGTGCATGAATGTGTATGTGAGGGTTCCATCTGCAGTCCCCCCACCACCTTCGTCTTTCTTTTTAGTTTCTTCTTTTGTTTTTTGCTTTCTGTTTATGTGTGAATGTGAATGATTGTGTGTTCATCTTTTTTTTGTTTGTTTTGGTGGTTTTTTTTGTTCTCTCTTTTTAGTTTAATGTGTATGTGAATGTATGTGGCAGGGATTGATTTGAATTTATTCTGTTTTTTTCTCCTTTCAGTTTTTTGTTTGTTTTGGTTTTTGTTGTTGTTGTTGTTCTCTCTTTTTTAGTTTAATGTGTATGTGAATGTATGTGGCAGGGTTTGATTTGAATTTATTCTGTTTTTTTCTCATTTCATTTTGTGTTGGGTGTGTGTGTGTGTTAAGTTTTCTTTTCTTTTTTTTTTTGAGTCAGAGTCTCACTCTGTGACCCAGACTGGAGTGCAGTGGCTGCTCCCGGCCACTGCAACTTTGACCTGCTGGGCTCTGGCTATCCTTCCGCCTTAGTCTTCTGAGTCGCTGGAATTACAGGCATGCGCTACCACACCTGGCTGATTTTTTGATTTATTGTAGAGATGAGGTTTCGCCAAGTTGCCCAGGTGTGTCCCGAACCCGTGGGCTCAGGCAATTCACTCACCTCGGCCTCCCAAAGCGCGGGATTACAGGCTGAGCCACCGAGCCCAGTGGTGTTCAACTTTTCTCTGTTCTCATCATTGCTGTTACTGTATCTTAAACTAGGGGATACACACGTATACCCATTGCATCGTCATATAGAGTGGTGGTGGGGAGTGAACATTGTGATTTGCAGGTAGTTTCTGAATCCTAGCTCCCCATCCTCCACCTTATTTGACTCTCAAAACTACAAGAGACAGTAGAGTTTCACACCCACAATGCTGTTTCAAAACAGAACAAATTCAGAGTCCTGATCAGGGAAGAAGAGAGGGTTGAGCAAGTATCAGAACTGAAAGCCTCTTCCGCTGCCACTGAATAATGGAACTAAAGAGAAAAGAAAGAGATCTGTCACAAATGAGGAAAAATCAATGGAAAAACACAGGTCATTCCCATGTGAAAAGGAGAAAATGCCAGAAAAATCAGACCTAAGAGCCCAAACAATGGAAGTCATCAACAACTGGTTCCAATTACAGCAGGAATTAGGAAATGAAGGAAAGAGTGAATATAACTCAGAGATAAGATGCAACACTGAAAGAACTTGTAACAGAGATTTTGGCCATAAAAATTTTAATCCAGGAAATAACTAACAAAATGACAAGTATAGAAAGCAGAATTAATCAAGAAGAAAGAATTTCAGAACTAGAACACCAAAACATGGAATTAACCCTATCTGTAAAAAGAATAAAGGAAACTCAGAAAGAAAGAACAAAGCCTCCAAGAGATGTGCGATTGTATCAAGAGGTCAAAACTATGCCATATTGGTATCTCAAAAGAAGAAAAGGAAAGGGAGAACACCTTGGAGCAAGTATTCCAGGAGGTTATCCAAGAAAATATTACCTATCTCACAGAGATGTGTCCATCCAAATACAAGAGATGCAGAGAACCCCCACAATATATCAAATGAGAAGACCAACCCCTAGACATATAGTAATTCACCTACAAAAAGCAGGTACAGAAGAAAAAATCCTAAAGGCAGCAAGAGAGAAAGGTCAGACTATCTACCAGGGAAAGTCAATCAGAATAGCAGCAGACTTACTGGCAGAAACACTACAAGCTAGAAGGGACTGAAGTCCAATATTCAGAGTCCTCAAAGATAAACAATTTCAACAAGAATTTCCTACCCAGCCAAGCTCAGTTTCATCAGAGATGGAGAATTAAAATCCTTCCCAGACATCCAAATCCTAAGAGATTATGCAGCTTCCAGACCAGCTCTACAGGAGATGTTTGGAAAGGTACTAAAAATAGAAGAAAGGAAGAAAAAAAAAAAAGAATGACCACACACTTCCCTTCTTGATAAACTCTCAAACACCTAGGCTTAGAGGAGCGTATCTCAAAATGTTAAGTCCCATCTATGATAAACCTGCAACCTGCATATTGCTAAATGGACAGGAGGTGGAACCATTTCTCCTGAAAACCGGAATGAGACAAGGTTGCCCACTCTCACCCCACCTGTTCAACATTGTGTTGGAAGCCCAGCTAGAGCAATTAGACAAGAGAAGGAAATCAAGGGTATCCAAATAGGAAAAGAAAAAGTTAAGTTATCCCTCTTTTCTGACAATATAATCCTATACCTCAAAAATTCAAGAGAATCTGTCAAAAACCTCCTTTCACTGATAAAGGATTCTGACAAAGTCTTGGGCTACAAAATAAATATACAAAAGACAGTTACATTCTTATACACCAACAAGAAACAGAGAGCCAAATAAAAAGGACAATCCCATTCACAATAAGCCATAAAAAAAAAAAAAAAAAAGAAATACCTTGGCATCATCTTAACCAGAGAAGTGAAAGATCTTTCAAATGAGACTACAAAATGCTACTCAAAGAAATCAAAGACACAAGCAAATGGAAAAAATAGTTTATGCTCATGGATTGGAAGAATCAACATTAAGATGTACATTCTACTAAAGAATCTACAGATCTAGTGCAATACCCATTAAATTATCAGCAGCATTCTTCTCAGACCTGGAAATGACAATACAGAAATTCATATGGAAGCAAAAACAACCATGAATAACCAAAACAGTTCTTAGGAAAAGAAACAAAATGGGAGGTATCACACTTTTAGACTTTAAAGTTTAATATAAGGCTACAGTCATCAAAACAACCTGGTATTGGTACAAGAATGGGCATATGGACTAATGAAACAGGATAGAGATTCTGGAAGCAAAACCTCAATTTCTGAACCAACTCATCTTCAACAAAACCTCCACCAACAACCACTGGGGAGAGAAGAACCTATTCAGTAAATGGTGCTGGGAAAACTGGCTGATCACGTGCAGAAGATTGAAACAGGACCCCTGTCATCATACAGAAAAATCAACTCAAATGAATCAAAGGTCTAAACATAAAACCTCAAACTGCAAGAATCTTAGAAAATACAGGAGACACCCTTATAGAAATCAGAGTAGGCAACCAATTCCTGATCAAAACCTCAGGTGTCCATCCCATAAGATATAAGATAGACAAGTGGGACCTCATTAAACCGAAAAGCTTCTGAAAAGCAAAAGAAGCCATCAAGAGAGTGGGAAGACAGCTCACAAAATGGGAAAAGATATTTGCCAACTGTATGTCTGACAAAGGCGTAACACCCAGGAATTACAAGGAACTCAAACGTGCTGAAAGGAAAAAAACCAAACAGCCCCACTAAAAAGTGGGCAAAAGACATGAATAGACACTTCTCAAAAGAAGATATCTGGGCAGCCAACAGAAACATTAAAAAAAGTGCTCAGCCTCATTATTCATTAGAGATATGCAAATCAAAACCACATTGAGATACCACCTAACCCCGGTAAGAATGGCCATCATTAATAAAACAAACAACAGATACTGGCAAGGATGTGGAGAAAAGGGAACACTTCTACACTGCTGGTGGGAATGCAAACGAGTTCAATCTCTATGGAAAATAGCATGGAAATTACTAAAAGAACTAGAAATTCACCTTCCATATGACCCAGTAATCCCCCTACTAGGAATATACCTGGAGGAGCTCAAATCATTCTACAAAAAATATGTCTACACACACTGTGCTGTCCATCGATACTGGACTGGATTAAAAAATGTGGTACATATACATGATAGAATATTACACAGCCATAAAGAAGGACAAACATATGGACTTCACAGCAACTTGGATGGATTTAGAATCTATAATACAATCACAGAAACAAAAAACAGAGTACCACATGTTCTCACTCACAAGCTCACTCATTTACCATAATACTATAAAAAAGGGATTGGCAGTAGTGGGATACTGCCAGGGTGGGGGTGGGGACACAATATCAGTAAGGTGACCTGATCTCATGCCAGGCAAAGTAGGGAGCAAAGGGAGGCAAACTTTACCTGTATGATGTCCACTCATACACCTGATCCTGAATTGTACCCCACATCTTTAAAATAAAATGTTTTTAAAATTGTGAAATGAAATTGGTCAGGATTAGAAAAAAGTTCCTAAAAGGATGAGAGATTGAGTGGTTTATGCCAGAACAATAAAATAATTGGTTTCTCTTTATCCTTTCCAGTTATCTTGCTTATAGACAATCCCACGTATTCCTATTCATCTCACTTCAAGAAGGCAGTAGTTTCCTGTTTAACATTATCATATCAAGGTTTTTCTCCTATCATTGGTCTGGCAGGCTCATCTAGGGAATGGAGTCTGATCAATTCTCATATATTCAGTCCCTAGGAAGTGACCGCTATCACTTGCTTTCATCCAAGTAAGCCTAATTAGGATTTTTCCTAATTAGGGGAAACTGCCAGGGGAGGAGGGGCACACCTCATCAACAAGGGTACCTGCATAACGAATATTTGTATACCTAATCCTGAATTGTACCCCACATCTTTAAAATTAAAAAAAAATTAAATATTTTTTCTATAGGCCTCAAATTATACTAGCATAATGAATATTTATATACCTAACCCTGAATTGTACTCCACATCTTTAAAATAAAAAAAATAAATATTTTTTTCTATAGGCCTCAAATTATACTAGCCTCCCTAAAAATCTAAGGAGAAAATTATCAGAAGAAACAAATATTCTTGTTTAAGACCTACCATTAAAGTGATTGTTCTTTCCTTTTCGTTTTCAATTACCATTAACCATGGAGTATATTCTCTTTATTAATTGTACAAAAGATTTACTAAAATGTGTCTTTAGAGCTAGACAAATTAAAAAAATAGCAAGAGTTTTTCTTTGTTTTTAATTATCTTTCACTTGCAATAATAATGCTAGTTAAATGGAATTTAAGTGAAATAAATAAAATGGATTGAGATAACTTTAATGTACTTCAAAAACCTATGGAACCAAGAAGCAACATGAATATATTTCTATTTATATCTTTTACTGTTAGAATGAAGGATCATTCATCTACAATATAATAGGCAATGTGCTGATAATACTTTTTATTTGTATAGGTGGTTGAAGTTTGAAGAAGATGTGGAAGATGGAGGAGAAAGGTGGAGCAAGCCTTATGTAGCTACTCTTTCATTGCACAGCTTGTTTGAGTTGAGAAGTTGTATTCTGAATGGAACTGTGTTGCTGGACATGCATGCCAACACTTTAGAAGAAATTGCAGGTATATATTTTTCCCCTTAGTTTATTTGACTCTCATGGGTACAGCTACTTTTTATTACTCTCTTTCCCTTATAATTGCATATATATGTGAGTTTTGGAAAACACAATTCTCATGATTAGCCTTCATTTGAGATAAAAGAAAAATCGAATCTCAGAGAAATACGGTCGAGTTTGTCAAAGGCAAGTCTAGGACAAAGACCTAGATATCCTGACTTCCATTCAGTATTTGTTTTTCACTATCATATTTAGACTGTCACCATTAGAAAATTGAAGGTGAAACCCTTAAAGCTACAGATTCATTTTCCAACATTTACACATATGAAAAAATGTTGGTTTAGAACAAACACAAAATAATGTGACCATTTATTTTAAACTGAATTAAAACTCTTGAATTCTGGAGGAAACCAAGTGATTCAGTTGAGATTTGTTTTAATTTAGTACTATAGCCACTCGGATGAATGATTTGTATTAGAATCCTACTATGTCTTATAGCATAGACAGTTATACTTAGGAAATGTGTTACTGTTGCGGAAATGAAGTCAGAGAACTCATATCTTTTGATCCGAAAGACAAACATATTTTCGTAAAAACAAAATAATACAAAAACAGATACAATACTAATACAGTAATGAGTTTTGAAAGCATGTAAATGAAATGATTGATGGATGTTTTAAAAATTAAAGCAAAGAAAAGACAGTTTAAAAAATTCCTAGTTTGGGGGGAAAAATAAAATCTATTCCATGAGATTTTTTTTGTGAAGAGAGACTTCAATATTTTAATTATGTTGTAGAGATAGAGAAAGAAAAACCTCCAAAACTCTGTGTGTGGTTTTAGATCTCACAAATAAGATAATAATGTATTAGAAAAATGATATATCTAATTTAATCTTAGAACAGTCCTTTTAAGTAGTTGTCATTCTCATTTTTCAATGAAAAAATAGAAACTCTAAAATTTTCATGGTCCAGATTTCATCCAGGGCCTCTAACTTTAAGCTCAGAGTTTTTTCTATTACACTACAACTGCTCTCTGAAGAAAAAGAGATATCTTGAAATGGATATCACTCAAATTTTGATGGCATATTGATTACTTAAATTTTTTTTTATTTGGTCATTGTTGTTGATAGTCATGTATACATTGCAATGTGTGTGAAAGGAAAACTAAGTATTGAAAAATAAATGGTTAACTTAGAAATTAGCAAACCTCTTAAGAATCCTGAAATAGTAGCTGTCCATCTCGATTTCTTAACATTACATTATAGGGTCTTGTTGATACCCAATAAACATTTTAATAATTTAATTAGGAATGAAATGGCTGGACTTTTCATAATACTTTGAAGTTTGAAAAGCTGTTACATTTATACATTATCTTTTTGATGCTCAGACCTGTGACTTTGTGTTATTACTGTTATCCGTATTTCATAAATAAAGAAACTAAGGAACCTAAAATTCAGAAGGTTGAAAGTGTTGCCCTAAAGAATTTACTTTTGCTGGTTAGCTCAGTGGTAAAATTATCTTTGAAAATAGATTAATTCGAGTAAGTTTTGAACCAGGTAATGAATCTGTTAAATTCCTCAATCTGGCAAAATTAGCTTCAAAATATACCCTGTATACTTTTACCAGACTTTAAATTTCTTAAAGTAAGTAGTTTTAAATGCCTTCCTTAGGAAGTTATTTCTATGAGAAAGTTTTCTCCTAGTAATTTGCCTAAAACTGTATTCATCGTATCACCTTAGTTCAGTTTTGTTATCTAAAAATATGCTTCTTTTTCTTAGCCATGCCCCTCATCCCCAAGCTCAATTCTGTAGAATATGTGAAGGTTAACTGTGTTAAATCTAATTTTTTCAATTAAATTACATTCTCTAAGTTTATCCTTACAATGAAAGTAGTTCAACTGAAGTCTTGATGTCCCAAATGCTCTTTAGTATTCTCTCTGTTCTTCTAATTAGTATGTATCTTTCTGACTCCAAAGTAGCCCAACTTGAATGTCCCATTTTCAGCATAGAGCAGCCTGTAAAATGACATTCAGAATATATCAGTAGTTAGAGCTAACATCACATAGAAAAATATGATTATAATTGGTTTTGTTTATCATTGTAATAAACAATGTTATTACAATGTTAGATTCCTTAACAATAATTAATAAGAGATTCCTTCTCATCGAATAATTGTAACTTGATTTTATTTAAAATACAAGTTATTTATTTCTGCCTTCAATAAAATCTCATTAAAACATTTTCACTATAGCTTGTAATTATTTTTTATTTTCTACTATTTTCACTTTATTAAACTTGAGCTGCACTACTGAGTAATAAATATGTTTTCCATTTTTAGGACTTCTTATTTTGCAAAGTATTTTTACATCCATTATTATATTTTATTATTATAGCAACTTATGAAATAGGAAGGAGGCTATTTTTCCCATAAACAGATAAGCAGAAAGTGCTATATCAAAGATGACATTTGCAGAAATGAAAATAATTTCTTTTGATAATCTATAATTATAAATGTTGTTTATAATTATAACTGAAACTTTTTCCTTACCTCTCATTTATCATTATCTTTCTATATGTTAGGCAGTTACTAACAGGTATTAGTCACTAGTTTCAATTTTTCAAAAGCTAGATCTAACAGTTTACCTTTAAGGCTTCTGATTCCTACTAGTTCATGAAAGCACAAGCATTAGTGTTTTTCAGATATTTCTATAGAAGAATATGACCCAGATATTTTATAGTAATGATCAAGGATTTTTATATCAATGTTCTGATACATTTTTAGCAGACTCAGATAATTTCTTAAAGATATTTTTGTAGACTTAGTGGCAAAAATTTCTTTTGTTTCTGGCAGATCTGTCAAGAATTTTTGGTATAATTAAAGTAGGATTTTCTTTTGAATAAAGTTAAAATATATCTACTTCTCAGTGTTTCAGGAAACTCAATAAATTTAAACTTCATCTTTCAAAATATTACTTAACCTTTAAAATCCAAAAATCTCCAGATATATTTTCTTATCATGATTTACTCTGATACAGAGATTAATTGTATTATAATATTTATTAATTATATTCATGCAAATCACAGGCAATTTTATGGTCTATGTTAATCTCTTTGAAATTAAGCATTATAAAGATTAATGATAGAAATGTTCTCTCAGTAGTGTATATACTTTAACCTAATTCTGACAATGGGAGTTAGGAAGAAATTAAAACCAAACTAAAATTAATACCCGTGACAAGTGATCAATCTTTGTTGTTTAAAATCTTTCATTGAAGGAAAAGTCCACAGTTTGTTCCACTGAATGAATTTGTAGATTTGGGGATATGAGAATAATCATATATTTTTTAACATGCCTATTCTATGGTAATCCTTAGTCTGAAAATTATGTGTTCTGTGGTAGTTTATGTCTTTAGTTCACACAATCCTGTTAACACTGGCAACCAAACCACAAAATTTAGAAACTTCATATTCCCCTCTCCTCCTATTTATATGATAATCTTTAAAAAGTCAGAGATTTATATCAGATCTGCAAAATCTCATGATCTCTAGGGGCTTTCACTCAAATAGATTATGATAAAATAATTACTTGATTAGTATAAACAATAAATTTTCTACAGCTTTTTTGCACCAATGTGACTAATTTTTCTAGAGCCTGCTTGGTATTAGAAGAGTGTGACCTATTTATCCTGTTGTTTTTTTATTTTTCTGTTATCATCCAGATCCTAACATTGTGCTTTGACAGGCTAGATTGTATTATTTAGGTTTCACAGCCTGCTGAGATTTTAGGACTTGGTGCTGGGCCCAAAGCCATTATAGTCCATTATCCTTTCCTACTTTCAAGTTAATCCCGATATATATTGAAGTGGTAAAGAGAGCAAAGTGATTATTGAATCAGATTCCCTTTGGTACTTAAATCATACCCCGGTTTGGGTTATATTTTTAAGCAAAATGATTACTTTTCCAGTTAATCAAGATATTATTTGATACAATTATACTTTGGAGGAGTTCACTGCATATTTCTGTGTGAATAATGAACAGAAGAGTTTTTTTTAATTTACTTTTCCTTACATAACTATCTCAAATAGAGAACTTATCTCTGAAAAACTGTAATGTCCGCTACCTGTGGGTTTTGTAGTGTTCAATCCTGAAAATAAAATTGTGCCTTAGTAGAATTTAAAAATCATAAACATGTGCAGAGTTTTTAATATGATTACTTTTGATTCTAGTTAGAATACCAAAGTGGGGATTTATAACATGGCTTTCAGATGGAACAGCCTTATAATTATATCATACTGGTGTTTCAATAACCTACTTTACAACTTCTATTATGAGGTATATAATGTATTTATATACATTTTTCATCTTAGCAAGGTTTCAGTGTAATATCATATATATTGATAATTTATTAGTTACATTATTCCAGATTAATTCAGGGGTGTTATAATTACTGATCTTCAAAGAACTTTAAAATAGATTTAAACATTATTCTATAGTATCACGCAATTTCAGAATGAGAAGGGACCTTTGAGGTAATTTTAGTGGCTAACTTTCAGACACATCCTGGGTATCTATTATGGCTGACTCCCAAATATTTATTCTACCTCTTTCCATTATAAACAGAAAAGTGATAGAGCAAGCCATACTCCTTGAGCCAAAGATTGCCTACTGCCTGATTTTGTAGAACTTTTGAGCTAAAAATAGTGCTTTCATTTCACGTGGTTGAAAAATAATAAAAAGGATATTAATATATTCTTATGTGAATATTTTGTGAAATTCAGATTTCAATATCCATAAAAAGTTTTATTGAAGCTTAAAAATAGTCAGTTGTGTACATGTTATCTCTGGGTGCTTTTGTGCTACAAAGGTAGAGTTGAATAGTTGTAGTAGAGATCATATGGCCCACAAAGCCTAAAATATTTATCATCTGGCTCAGCTCGGAAGAGCTTGTCTGGTTTAGATAATTAACTCTAGAGTAAAGGGCAGTTTTGATTAGTCTAAGTCAATCATGTGAATCCCATCTCCTTTGCCAGTGATTGGTTCAGGCTGGGTAGCAATAGGTCAGTTGGACTTAGGATAATTATTAAGAGAAAGTCACAAGAGACCAATATATTTATCACTGGATATGAAACAAAGACATATATTTCCTTTTTGCTGCTGGAAGCCACCTTATGACTGTAAGGAAAATTAGCCTGAGGTTACAGTTTACACTAGAGGAGAGGAAGCTGACAAAAAAACCCACAGAGAAACAGAATAAGAACTAGTCTAACTTTTGCTATTTCTGTGATGTATGCCAATAAAATTAATTGTTTTGGCTAGTTGGATTTTTTATAGATGGACTTCAGCTCACATAAGGAGGAAATGAGGAAATTATTCTGTACTATATAATATTAAAATATACATATAAAACAACTTTTCAATTTCAAACATACCTATTAATTTAATATTACTCCCACAGTTACTTCTTCCCACTAGTGTGAATAATATAGAAATAAAGAACTCTCTTCTCAATGCAACTATTTGTAAAATAATACTGCATAGAAATTATATATTTGAAATTGAATGATTTGTAATGAAAATTTACAAGTCTTTCTTGTGCAACATTTTTATAAAGGGAGATAGATTTTTGTTTGTAACACCATAGAGATTTTTTAAAGAAATTGTTTATATTTTATGATGAATAATGTTATTTAGAGCTTGCGTATTTAGACTCAGTGGTTCGCTACTGACAGATGCAGGGTGGGAAAATGAGCTTATCTCTTCTTCCTGGCATTTCTCTTCAGATATGGTTCTTGACCAACAAGTGAGCTCAGGTCAGCTGAATGAAGATGTTCGCCACAGGGTCCATGAGGCATTGATGAAACAGCATCACCATCAGAATCAGAAAAAACTCACCAACAGAATTCCCATTGTTCGTTCCTTTGCTGATATTGGCAAGAAACAGTCAGAACCAAATTCTATGGACAAAAATGGTAAGTGTTTCTTTATTGTGGTCCTTATTTATGTCTACTCTAAAATATTGAAGTGCTTCTAAATCTTTTAAAATGCTTTCTTTGAAAATAATTTTTTGAGAATGCTATTGTTATAGGATAATTTTTCATATGCATAAATTGTCTTATTATCAAACATCAGATTCTAGAAATTTTAACAAGTGTTTTAAGTCTCCTGAAATGTTCATGACAAAATGCAAAGAAAACTGTTATCCAATGAGAACTTATAGATTTGAATGCAGCAAGCATTTATGGAAAATTTATTGCATACCAAACAAGGTCTTAGTCTCTGTCTCATAGCTCGAAATTGTAATGCAATGCTTTGAGTTATGCCATAGACGGTCTGTTAGTTAAAAGAATAAGGAACTTCATCTAGTGTTTATGGAAAAAGACACTGGTTTCATGTTTCTGATAGTCTACAGAGTCCATTAGAGATAATGATTGAAAAGACCAGACAGTGCATTGGTTGTGGCTCTGCATATATTAAGCCCGATTCAAGTTTCATAGGCTCATTGCTGTTTATAGTACAGCATCTTCAACATTCATGGAGCAACCCACTTACCATCCTCACATACCAACATAGATGACCACCACCCTTTCCTAGCAATCATGACTTACTATGATTTATACTTCAGACTATTTTATCTTTCCCGTACTTTTTGTACTCTCCTTGCATCCGTTTAACCCTTCATCATTTGCACTAAGGAAGTCACTTAGAAATCTCCTATTATCATCCACCCTTCCATTAGTCTCTTGAAGGAAAAAAGTTTCCATGAAGATGATGAATTTATTAAACTTCCACCAGCTATAAAAGTTTCCAGTTATAAAAGATAAAAATTAATGAAAAATATTTTTGAATGCTACTGGAAAGACTCTGATTTCCACAGCTGGACTGAAGCACATATATTGACAACTTGGAATATTATGATTTCACTTTTATCTTAACAAGTTTCAGAGATGCCTTAAATACAAATGTATGAAAATGCATTTTCTCCAGACTTTGCTTTATATGGGAATTTTTACTAGTTTTCATACTACTGTATCAAATATATGCAAATATAGAAGAAGTGATTTAATAAATAGATGAAGATTATGTGTCAATTTGTCTCAGAATATAGAACTAGTTTTTTTTTTTTTTTGAGTTGGAGTCTACTGGTGCCCAGATGGAGTGCAGTGCCGCTCCCCACTGCAACCTCGCCTGCTGGGCCCCGGTGATCCTTCCGCCTCAGCCTTCCGAGTAACCGGAATTACAGGCACGCGCTACCACGCCTGGCTGATTTTTTTGATTTTATTATAGAGATGAGGTCTCGCTGCCCGGGCGGGTCTCGAACCCGCGGGCTCAGGCAATCCACTCACCTCAACCTCCCAAAGGCGCGGGATTACAGACTGAGCCACCGAGCCCGGCTAGAACTAGTTTTTAATGGCAAATTTATTTTAGAAATCCTTTTTTGATTTTTAAGACTGTTCAATGACTGCATGTGTCATTGTTATATAGCTGTAGCTGTAAATACAGTACGTTCACTAAAAGTGTTATAAAATGACAAAATTTGAAGCACACATTGTAAAAATGGAACTTTGTCTTCATTTTATCACTTTTACTGGAAATCAGACAGTAAGATATATGTCTATAGGAAAGATATGCCTCTTCAAAGAGGCAAAGATCTTGGGCTGTGAACTAGTTACAGTTTATACCTCAAATTCCATTAGGGACAAAGTTTACTATATAAATAATTTCATTGCATTCTCTTTTATTGAAGAAAGAGGGTAGATAATTTATTGGTCTAACCATTTATTATAATATCATGCAGAGCTAGATATATTGTTCACTACCTTAAATCTCTATTAAGCTTAAGAAGAGACAATAGAAGTATAGCCATGAATCACAAATATACATATAGATGCAAGGTTTTCTGAGAGTCTGCTTTTTATCTTATTTAGGAAATGGCCTAATTTTCCTGAAAACTAGAATCTGAATGGTTCTGAAGTGATTCTATCACCATCTGCACAATCAGCCTTTATCTGAACACATACAAATCATTTCAAGGCATATATAAGGGTAATAAAAACTTGGAAACATTTCTAATAAGATTCATATACCCAATTAAGTATTGTTGTAGCGTGTGTTGTCAGAGTAGTTTTCTAAGCCTAGGCTTATAACACCTCCTTATGACTCTGTTTTGCTTCCTCACTCACTTTGCATAATTATGTGTGTTGAGAATTCTGAAAATATGTATAGACTTCACCAATTTAGAAATAAATCTCCCATCCAAAAGTGAAAAAAAGTGTGAAAGACCTTTACTACTAAGGTTCTCATTTACTCATGAACTCTAAAACCTGAAAAACTATAGATAAATAAACAAGTTGAAAATAATAGCCATACATACAAATTTGACATTTTGTTCTAAATATGCAATAGAGATTTAAATTGTTTGTGAAATAGTACAGAGAGATGCAAACAGATTTTAAAATATCCAAAAGAGATAAAATAATATTCTTATTATTTAAACAAATATCATCAATAAAATATTTTTTGCAAAGAGATCAAGTTTTTTTTTTACATTTTTAATCAATTTATTTTAAAGATGTGGGGTACAATTCAGGATTAGATAGATAAGTGGTCATTTTACATGTAAACTTTGAATCTCCCATTGGTCCCCAGTTCGCCTGGTTTGAGAACATGTACCTTTATTGATGTAATATGCTCCCCCCTCCCCTGGCAGTTTCCTGCTACTGCCAATCCCTTTCCTATAGTATTATGACAAATGTTCAGGTTCCACTTATGAGTACATATGGTACTCAGTTCTTTGTTTCTGTGATAGATCACTGAGTATATAAAAAAGATTATAGAATAGGAATTAAATAGGCCAAGAGTTTTCTAGAAACTTTAAAGCAGAATACATTTTCCTTCCCAAGCACAGGGATAAAAATAAGTCTTCTCTCCTTGAATGTGTTTTTACTTTGGAGGCAAAGCAGTTGAAATTTCCTTAAAAACAAACTGATACTTGTGTAAAGAAGTCTGAAAGAATCATATAGAATAAGGCTTCTTCTTTCTAAATTAACTTGTTTCTTGAACATGCTACCTTGGTAGGACTCCCAAGGGTTACACATTCACACTTTGTATTTCAAATGTGGCTCTTCCTCCTTTTATAGATTAGATTAACAAGATCGTGTATTTCCTTGCTCCTCTCCACCCAAAGTCTACACTCTTTTGTCTTGTCTTTGTTTAGTGATTTGTGATACTTTGTTAATCTCATCTCTAAATACACTAGTTTACTATTTTGTGTAATTTCTTTCTTGGTATTCTGAATTTTCTTCAAGGTTAAAATGCAGGATGCTATGGATTCACTATGCATTTTTAATGCCACCATGCTGTGTTTAACTTTCACTTTTCATTAAGCATCAAAACTGTGAGAATTAAATGCCTGAATCTGATGTTTCAATAAAAAGTGACAGTTACATTTGGCAAAACAGCAGACAAAATAATAGAAAAAATAATGTCTACTTTGACATTAGAACCTTGAAAAGGATATGAGTGGGAAAGAACTCAAAATAAATATATCAAGAATGTTCAAATAATTCTTTGAAACTAGAAAAATTTTCTAATGCTAAAAATAAGACTTTTGTGTTAAGTGATTTACAAAGCAAAATATATCAGTATCTGTGCTTATCATTTAGGTCATATATTCAATTATATTCTGAGACTTTTAGGTTACAAATCTATTGCAAAATTTTACTACCCTTGTAAATTATATTTTTGAAAATAATTTGGGATTTTTAGTTTCCTTAAATATATGATATCTTTATTCTACCTTTACTAATGATTTCTGGTTTTTTTCCTTCACATATCTTTTTTATCTCTTAATTTGAATACTATCCAGTTGTACTTTTTATTTAGGATCTCAAAAGGAGTAACAGAGCAGAAAGTCTCTAATTTATTGGTCAAAGTCATGGATTTCTGAAGAACATTTAGTATTTGAAGGATAAGATATGAGTTCACTCTTTAGGCCTGGGTAGATTTCCACCCTTAACAATGTACATATATGTATTGTGCATGATTTTTATTTATGGTTTTGGAAATCAGATTTATTACCTTATGATCACTTCTTTTACAAATGCTGTACTTTTTATTTTCAGATGCATGATTGAATACATAAGAATATCCAAGTTTAAAATTTATCCTCATAATGTTCTACCTTTGCAGAAGAAAATAAAGCTAGAATAATAATTCTTACAATTGCTTGAGAGAAAAACATATTAAAAGATTTATATATATGAAATAATTAAGCATTGTTTAATAAAGATGGTATTTTCCACCATTTCAAGAAAATTAAGATGACATTGTTGACCAACTCATGGGTCTTCTCACAGGCTGTATTGTTATTACTGAATTTTGGAATGTCGAGACTAGATTTTAACAGCAAACATATTTCTAGTATGGTATGTTTAAATTGGCTATTTCTTATATTACATTAATTATTTTCAAGCATACTAATTTTTCTCCAAGTCTAATTATGTGCATACTTCTCATGTTTTTGAAGTGTAGCTCACCTAATCAACATTTTCTGAATATTTAGCCCTTCTTTCTTCATGTTTTCTATTCCCATGAATAAATGTATTATTACTCATGTATGTAACTTTGTCATTCATCTTTATATTTCTTTATTTTGCTCTGTCTTGTGTCTGTCTCTAACAGGCTCATCTCATCTCTGTACCTCCCTCATCTCCTACCCCTTGGGTACTCTAATTGCGTTGAAGGTTTCTGAGGTAGTGTAAACCAGCTTGGTCTTGAGGTTAATAGTAATGTACCTCCATGTCTTCATCCCAGTTTCCTTCTTGTGTGCATGATTTACAGAGGATTAAGCAGTAGCAAATAATGATACATTTACATAATATATATTTCTATTGATTTGAATTTGGCCAAATATAAATTTAAAAGCTGCTATTTTATAATGCATATGTACATAAAGAGAATTATAGGTAAAGACAAATGTGTTAATATACTACTCATAAGGGTTTTTGAGAATATTCAATTGTTTCGTTTAATGAGGTGCTTTAATGATACTGACATTAAAGTAATGAAATAGTACTTTTGATATAACCTCATGTTCCTCCCGCACAATTTTAGGATGAAGGAAATGACTTTGCCACTCTCACCATAGACAATGGAAAACTTATGGTTTAACAAGAAGAAAAGTAGAACTTCCATTTTATAGTTAGTAGTTTCTTGAAATACTCTCAATTTTCTGCCATACTTGCCCACATCTTTTATAACTTGCCCTAGAAAAATATATGACCTATAATAAATTTTTGTCTGACTTGTATATGTGATCCCTACAAGGAAGTCCAGGAAAAATATCAATTCATGACTCAAAGGAAAGTAACTCAGGTGCCAATATGAATACTCTATAATATGCATCTTAATTGGTGAGATGTCAAACAAATACTAGAATTTCGATTTAAAATGAAGAACTCTTTGAGTTTAACAAGTTAGAAAATAAACATATGTAGTAAATAGTGAAGGATGATATTAGATTTCTCAAATGTTTACATTTAAATAGTCATAGACACCAATTAATGTTAATGATATAAACTTTTCATCAGTTTCTAAATAATTTACCCTAAGTGTAGTAAGGTTACTAAATTAATAATTTTTTATAGTCATCTTCATGCCTCAAAATTTGTTCGATATCATAATAACAAAGGTAATTAAGCATTCAATGACATCCACTTATAGGAAATATGAATTTGGGCAGTGATCAGTGAACAAAATGAAGGTGACATAAAGAAATAAGCAAAAGTATTTATGTTTGTAAATGTGTCATAGTGATTAGAAAAATTATCATATGCAATTAAAATTCATAAAGCTTTCATTCATATATGAGTGCTACATTCTAACTTTTGTCCTGGAGGGGAAAATATTATAGCAAATTCTTTGTTATTCTTTTAGGGAACATATTGACTTCTTGTTGAAGGTAAAATCCTGTACCTGAAAATTGTCATTCTGTGAACTAAAATTGTCCTTTTGTAAACCACTTTAGACATAAACAAGAAAATAAGAGATGCCCTTTCAAATTCTGAATTTATTGATCTTCTTATATAATAGTATTTAAGTTAATGAAATTCATTTAATCCTATAATCTTCTTCTGAAAAGTGGTAATAGTGTAAATAAACTAAATAAATATGTATTTAAATAAAGATTATAATTGATAACAGAATTATGAATATTATTTTAATGTATGAGGTTTCCATTAGTGCTATGGACTAGAATTCTTTTATAAGAATTCTAAGTTTTAAGCTTTTTAAAAAAGGCTTCTGTGTTTTCAAAATAATGCAAGCCAATCTTGTTAGTTTAATTTTTAAATAATATGTAGACATTGTTCTATATTCTTAAGTTTTCAAAACTGCCTTGATACACATTTAATGTGTATTGTCTCACTTTAACAAATTAATGTACATTTTTAAAAATAATACCAAGATTTGAAATGCTATTTAAACTTTGCAGGACTATTGATGTTCTTATAGTATTTACTAATATTTACTACTATTATTTACTATTCTGAAATACAAAGATATAAAATTTGTGGTTTATACTTCCATATTATAGACTGGGTAATTTTATGCTTTTTTCCTGTATTAGTGTACATTCCATGCATATGTCTAGAATATAAAACTAGCAATGAATTTACTGCCACCTAGTATGTCTACTGCTAGTCAAATATTCTCAATAGGTCACTGTCAATATCACTTAAGATATTTATAAAAAAGAGTTTCTAAATCCCTTCTTGATTGTCAACTTTTAAGGTAATATTTTATACAATTTTTATTTTAGAACAAGAATAGCATAGAATAATACATCTCAAAATATATTATTACATATAGTATGAATATATTAATTATTAAAATTATTTACAAGAGGAAATACTAGTGCTAATGTTTTAAATATACTGCTTGAGCTGAAGGTAATTTATGAGATTGTCTGCTTAAAGTATATAAATGTAAACATACGATTCAATTTCTTCACATTTTAAGTTTCAGTGTATCTTCTATAAAACTCAGTATCTTCAAAATTGATAGTTTTGCACTGGGTTGACTCTCTTTTTGGATGTGTTTGCTGATAGAATTAAGTAATCATTCTTCTCTAAAATTTTATAGCACATGAAATACATTATTATAAGAAAACAGATACATGTTTATTTAATTTTTCATGACTTAAATTTTACCAATTTTACAGAACATTCAATAAATTTTGGTTCAAATATATTTAATGTTCTAACTCAAGAAAATATAGGGAAATGATGTGAAACTGGTGATTGAAGACATCTGTTAGTAGCACAAATGCATTATGTAAAAGGTTTTTAAAAATTGCAGTTATTTTGAGAATGGTAAATTGGCTGCTAATGAATAGTTCACAGTCATAGCTGCACATTGTAGCTAGAAATGGGAGAATGAAAATAATGTATATAGTTTGTCTGACATTATTCTGAAGTTTATATATCTCCCTGGAATATTCTATAAACAAAATTTGTGAACGTGGTTTGTTTGTTTAAACATTTTATTAATTTATTTATAATTCTTTTTAATTTCAATACATTTGGGGGATATAAATAGTTTTTGGTCAGGGCTTTTAGAGAACACCATCCCCACCTGTGCACGTTTTATCCCTTCACCTCTAGCTTTACCAGATGATTTATTTTACATTGCTTAGTGAAACCAGTGAATTATTTAAGTTCTAGAAGAATCTTTTACTTTTACTTTTTGATGATATAATAATTTTGAATCATAAAAATATCGCTGTTAATTAATGGCCCTTGCCTTTATAACTTAATCATCCAAAAAGAAAAATTATAGTACTATTGGGAGTAAATAGTGTTTTTAATCACACTTGGTAATTTTTAGGTAACAAGGAATAAGTGGGTTTCCAGGAGAAAATTTAAAGAAAAGAGGGGTTTTTTTGTTTTGTATTTACTCTAGGAGTTTAGATAAGTTTGATAGAGATTGTATTATAGTATATTAGAGTATTTGGTGAAGATGACACTAAAGGTGAACTTAGAATAAAATTGAGATTTAAGTAGGAAGAGGGAAGAACTTGACAGAGAAAGTACTTCCAATGTCTAAAACTGATGAGAATAAAAGCACTTTGGAGCCACTGTGTTATGATCATAAATATGGTCAAGGCTTAAACTTTGGGCTGCCATTACTTATCTTACAGCAAAAATAACAGTAAAGATGGAGAGGGCTTTTTTTTCATTTCATTACTAACTATGAACAAATTTCAAATGATTTGTGATTGCAAAGAATATTTCATATTTAGTTAATTATTGAATTTAATCATTTCTAGCCATTGCCAGATTCTCAGCTCTACTATCCATTTAACTAATATCATTATCTTCCCTGTAATAGGGAAAATAACAACTAAGAGTTAAAAGTTTGGTTAGTGTTAATGAAAAACTAATGCAGTTTATCTTTTCTTGTATCACAGACTAATATTAGTATGCGTATGTTATAGAATAGTCACAAATATAAAATTATGTTCAGTGTTCATATTGTTTTAAATAAAGGTATTTCTGACCCTTATATATTTATTTGAATCTCTTACATAGAAATCTCTAAAAGTTGTTGCCAAAGAACTTTTGCTCATTGGTTTGGCTTTCTAGATGCAACAGAAACTAAAAATAAACTGTGTAATTTTCAGATAAATATTCGTCTTTTTAAATGCTTTACATTTAAACTTTTTCAATCTGAACTTAAATCTTGATAGAGATCTATCTTGTCCTTTTTTATACACCATTAATTTTGGTTAAATCTAGAAATCAATGATGATTCAAAATCATTGTTATATTTAGATATTTTTGTAGGCGATCTTTTTAAAGAATAGCATTTTAGAGTTTTTATCTGAAAGCTGGTTTAAATTTTTTGATTGAATTCTCCCATTTCTATCTGATAAATAAGAATTTTTGCATTAATATAGATATTTATATTCACTCTTTATGCTTACATCATAAACTCATTAAGAATTAAAGTTCATATTTCACTCACTATGTCTAGAACTATGTAAGTAATTGTTTGTATTCTGTATTAACAATCTCTTTTAGCAGGTCAGGTTGTTTCTCCTCAGTCCGCTCCAGCCTGTGTTGAAAATAAAAATGATGTTAGCAGAGAAAACAGTACTGTTGACTTTAGTAAGGTAAGCTTTTCTCCCTCTCATATAAAAAAGCTGCTAAATTACTACTAGAAATTACTACCCATCTTAATAGGTGTTGACACAATATTTTGCATGTACTTTTTTGTTTCTTAAGTCAAAGCTTGATATTATTATATTTAATATTAGCATTAAGTCCACATTTTGCTTATTAATAAAAAAGGAACATATAAGTTTTATGCATAATCTTCAGGTTTCAGCCACTTGGTATAATGTAACTCTAAATAAAAAGAATACTAGACATCACATGGAATTTAACATAAGTTTAATCTATCATTTACAAAATTTTGCTAGTTTTTGTTCAGAATCACTTTTCCTCTATTTGTGCAAAAGCTAATCATATAAAGAAAGCTTCGTTGTCACTAATTCAGAGAGAGGCATTAGTGTAAATAAATACTAGAAGGACAAAGTAAAACTGAACAGAATTTTGAATCAAAACATATTAAGGACTGACTGTGCTGAGGGATATATCTCATTGGAGACAATTAAAATGAAATCATTAACTTGAATGTATTCTAAGAAAATAATGAGTCAGTGAAAATAATGTGATTTTGCTTAGCAGCTTCCTGACATTGTATATGTGCCATCGTAAGCTATGGCAAAGTTACGGTTGAATAGAAAAGAGGAGGAGTTTCAATACTGGGAGAAAATAAAAGAGGGTCAGCAATTCTCTTTATCTGAGTGGCTGAAACAGTAGTAACTCAGAGTAATATTTTAATAAAACTCCTAGCACTGGCTATGATGGTAGTAGTGGGAGAAGGTGGGAATGGGAGGCAGCAGTAGAGGAATTAACCTGAAACAAGATTAATAGTGAACAGCTCCTTGAACCTGTTTCAAAATCCCTCTGACAATGCCTAAATGACCTAAGTCTAGTTATGTGCATGCTCTCCCTCTGGTGTCTGGCGGAGTCTCTGTGGGGCATGGTGTACCAGCTTAAGTCTGTTAATTATACGTGCAGGGACTGGGAGGCCAACAAAAGGGGCATACTAGTCCATGTGGGATGAAACAAAGGCATGAAAAAGGACCTCCACACCAGCAAGAGAGAGAGGTGAGGGCATACTCGGCTATGTTTCTACAGTGGTTCAAAGCTCATTTCACTGTATGGAGGCATGTGATTCGAACATTAAGTCAGTTCAAATGTATTCCATCTGCCACTCTAAAAACTCTCTTTTTAAAACATTACATCTTCATTCATCTGCAAGTTGGAATAAAGTTGCCACAAACTGCCACACATTTAATTTCTGATATTCTTAATTTGAAGCACTATCTTAAAAGCAGTGACATAACAAGTTGCTTATTTATTTATGCAAGCATTAACAGTATTACAAGGACATATTTAACATCATCAAAAACAATAATTGTGAACCACATACCTTATCTTTCCAAATAAATTACTATTAAACTTTTAAAAAAACAATATAACCCTTATACAATGAATTTTATATCTCAATATGGTTTTACTTTTAGTTGTATATACCTATCTTTGTAGCCTTCGAAAATGTTTCATCACATATGAAAGAAAATGAAGACTGCCAATTAGAGACAGTAGTCTTATCTTCAGGTCCCCCAAACAGTTAAAACTATAGAAGAGTGAAATGTAGATGTTCTTTCTTTTAATCCTTTTCTTTCTCAGTGCATTTCCATTCACTGGCCTATTCTATCTTTTAATAGGCAAGTTAAATTTCCTGAGTCCTCTACTTAGTGTTAGCCAGCTGTATTCCTCAGTCTCTTGTTTCTAGCATGACACATTGGAAAGAATATGGCTTTTGAGAAAGAGCATGAGATCTTAAATCTTGACTCCAGAGTTTATATACTATCTGATCTTGGAAAGTTTTCTGTACTTCAGCCTTCTCATTTGCAGAATAAGAATAATAATACAGTTTTGTTGGGAAGATTTAATGAGATAATATAGAGAGAGAGCCTGGTGCTCAATAAAAGGTGGTTACTCTTATTATTGTTGTTAATATTAAAAATGGTAGTATCAAAAATAAATACCAGACCAGAATTTAATATGTTTTGGTCTCCATTGTATCTTTAGTGTCTTGAGTAGTGTTTGGGATGTGACTATTGAATGAATCCTGCATAATTCAACATAATTTAAGCCTTTAGTTTTAGAATTAAAACAGAGTAACACTTCTTACTTTATAACCTGAGAAGGCAGAGAAATAGGGTTTGAAAAGATCAATTGTGATTCATCACTATGAAAATAAATTTTAGTGCCAGATTTTGCAGGTGCATGACTTAAGGTTTCTTTTTTTTTTAAATCAGCCTTATGATTTTAGTTTGGTAGTGAATTTATCAGAGCTCACCTAGTCTCCAGATTACTTTGTTTATTTAAATATTTTAAGTTTTAATATGTAGTATCCAAAGCCCAGTCAAACTTCGAGATGCTAAGGAAAAAAGGTCTTTATCATTTCACATGATTTGATCATATATTCTATATATTGAATCTACATATTTTTAATTTTTCAGTGACTAGACTTGTCAGATTTATTCACTTAAAAATTATTTAGGACACAACTTGAATTGTCAGGTGTCAACTTTCTGTAATGCTTTAAAAATCACATGTGTATCTGCTTTTCAAAACACTGTGTATCTTTGTTTTTCAAACTGAAAGTAGAAGATGGCTATTTTTTGTTGGTGTTGTTTCTTCATTTCAAGTGACCCAAAGAAGGCTTCACATAATTTTCTATGTAGAAAGAACTTTCTAGCCTTAGTGCATGAACCATATTACAAAGTCTTATTAAATCCTAGAACCATAGGAAATCTTAGACATCTCCTCATTTAGTCAACAAGAAAGCTGAATCCCAGCGAGATTAAGAGAGCTACTCAAGATCACTGACTAGTTAGTGTCAGGACACCATTTCTCCCCAGAAAATTCCTATTAATTTTCTTGTACTTTCTCTAATGGGCTTAAGATGTAAGCTTTCTTTCTAAATTTCCATCTGTTTTTTCTTCAACTCTTAGTGTGTGGTTTACCCAGAAACTTTCAGTTTCACCAGAGTCTTCTATCTAATCTGGTTCCCTAGAGATGTGACCATTTCTTGCTCACAACTCAAGTACCAAATGCCCCCCAAAAGAATATTTGCCTTCTTAGCATAAAGGTGGGATCTGGGGAGCCCAGAAGCATAAGTGTGATTATAGACCCAGAAGAGTATGGCTTGATTCCTTCAAGATCCCATTCAGAGGACCAGAAACTTCCAGAATGTCTTCACATTCATTCCAAATATTTGAGCCTACTCAAGGATTATTTCAGGATGCAATTCAAACTAGATCCCCAGAAATGTTTTAAGTAGTTATAATTTTATAAGAGGTTAAATTGTATTTATGTATGATCTTTTGTCATATTAGAAGGTAGTTTGGTTGCCAAATAAGGTTCTTTATGAATTATATAGTATCAAATACAAAAATGTAGGGCTATCCCAGAAAGAATATAATTATATATCCTACATAATACCATAATTAGATAACATATTTTATAATTTGTTACTCCTCAAATATATGACTACTCCAAGAATAATATAATGTAATGAGTATAATATAATGGCTTACCCAGATGTATGTTATATAACTCTAATCTATTTGCTCATCCTGAAATTAAATTCTGTATATCTTAATGTTTTCTCTAAATAACAGGTATCAATGATATATTAGGTATTATGTAATTTTAAAAATCATGTGCAAGGATCACATATTTCCTTTCATAAAATTAAACTATTTTAACATACTATGTGCTTATTGATTTAATTAAATTTCATCTTATAACAGTTATGTCTATGGTTGCCACCTGCCTCAGGCACAGATTTTAATAGTTAAGACTATGGCATTTGTCAAGCATTAAAAGTGTTTAAAGAAAGTTTTGCTAGGTGGAATTTAAATGTCAGGTATTATCAATATAACTTGTATTGATGATCAATTATGGATTTTCTTTAAAATATATTTTCATATTCTAAGTTTTGTTACAGAATATTAATATTGTATCCCTGTTCTTCCCATTGAAGGGGAAAATATATTGCTTATTCTTTTCAACTTTGAAAGATTTATGTTTTTCTCACAGGGCTATTCCCTTCTTAGGAATTTTTGCATTATAATGAAAATGTAAATCATGACTAATTTAAAGCGTTTTTAAAGTATGTTTTTCTCCTAGGTAGAAAAATACATACAACCATACCACAAAAAATTCCATAAAATGAAATTTTACTTATTAAAGTAAACAAATACTTTTGTTATTATAAATTAAAAGATTAGAGTCTACAAAAGCAAAATATTTGCCATATAATTCAGTTTACATACTTTACGAATTTACACATTTATTTTGGGGTATATGTTTGTGGACTAAAACTTTAGAATTTGTAATAATTGTCATGTATTTTATTATTTTATTTTAACAATGTGGGGTATAATTCAGGGTTAGGTATACAAATGTTCATTATGCAGGTACCCTTGTTGATGAGGTGTTGATGAAACTCCCCTGGCAGTTTCCCATTACTAGACAGTTTCACTTTGTTAAATCATTCTTCTTTATTTAAAATAAAATATTTGTTTTGTTTGATTTTTTGATGGAATATTGCAGATTATTTTTATATTTAATCTTTGTGATATATACACATACTGTGTGTTATGTTTTGTGGCATCCTTATTCTACAAAAGGATTAATTAGTTATAAACCTTCCAAATAACTACTGAAGTCTTTATTTCAGAAAACAACATGTTTAATGCAGTCACTAAAGTATTACTGTGGATTTTCTATGGTATTCCTAAAAGTTAAAAAAAAATTTTTATTTTAAACTTTTGGAAAAATTATTCTCAAATCATTAAACCTGCAGAAGAACTATCTAGTCTAAAAATTCTTCTCCGCCTCACCCATATTTGCCAGAGCTCTTTCCTCTCTCTCTTGGCTATTTCCACTTTGATCATTGTTCCCACTTCATTAACATCAGGGCATAAAATAAATTACTAGAGCAGATAAATTCTTATTTCCCTAAAAACAAAGTTCGTAAAAAGCAACTCAAGTGAACCAGAAACAAGAGACAGGTCTTGTAAAATCTATTTTAAAGTCACTGCTTGTCTTTCACTGAGGCCCTGTGCATAAAAAATGATATTTATTCTTAAGGCTATTTTACATTCATTTGCCAGACTTCACCCTTTATTCTTAACATTTCTTCTTGTAAATGAACACTTTTGTTTTGTGTGCATTCATTTCAATCACAGACATCTCATGTCAGAAATTCAACTATGACTCTTCAGTAATTACAAATGTTAATACTTTTATTCTGATTTTTTCTTCTCTATAATTTCTAAATTCTATGATGAAAAACTAAAATTTAAGAATTATCAGGCCAGATATATAATGTGAAGAATGTATAACAACTAGAAAAAAGATGAAGGCTAAAGTCATAATTTATACTGTAAGAAGAAATATGACTATATTTCTTTAAAAATGAGCATATTTGAAAATTAATTGAAATGCATTGTTTACAAATGAAGGCAATGTAGTATAAATATTAAATAAGTTGGTAAATACTAACTATAGTTATTTAATTGAACACATATACATCCTCCCTCTAAAATTTCAAGATTGTTGATGCTAAAGAAACTTCTTTGAAAAATTATGAGCAGAAAAACTAGCATATAGTTTATTGATGACAAATTAAAATAATTCACAAGTAAAGAATAATTTACTATAGAAAAAGGCAAATGAGATGTTTACCTATGTGTATTTATTTAAGCCATATTTATTGATGAATTATTATATGTCAAGCACTGTGATAAGATATAATCTGCTCTTTTTTCCAATTTTGATTACCTTATTTACTTGGTGATGTTTGCAGGTTGATCTGCATTTTATGAAGAAGATTCCTCCAGGTGCTGAAGCATCAAATATCTTAGTTGGGGAACTGGAGTTCTTGGACCGAACTGTAGTTGCATTTGTTAGGTTGTCTCCAGCTGTATTGCTTCAAGGACTGGCTGAAGTCCCAATCCCAACAAGGTAAAAAGTATAAGAGCATTCTTTATATTTTTCTTAAACCATCTTTTGTAGGGGAAAATGAAAATTAATTTCTTTTGAGTTTTGGATAAAAACTAACATAAAACTCATAAAATTATAGCTTTTTTGTTTGAGGAGGAAGAGAATAAGTGCAATAAAATTATTCAATTCTTTTAAATTTTCTTTCAAACTTCTTGGTTTTATTTTAGGCATGCTCAAGGCACCCTGAAACCCTATAAATTCTTTAAAAAACTTTTTGTAAGATAAATGATAGAGTGTTAGGATTTTCCCAGAGATTACATTAAACAGTTTGCTTTAGAAAGTTAGGATTCTGTATATGAGTGTGGTCAAACCCCCCAAAAAAAGTTTTTAAGGTTTGGCTTATAGACCTTCAAAATACATTTAAATGCCGTCATTTGAATAGCTCCTGCCATATGAAATATATTCTATATTTCAATGCTAAGCACAGTATGCCTCCCACACAAGGGGTCTGCAGAATCACTGGTAGAAGTATTATGGCAGTGTGGTTGAATCTGAGTTAAAAGCACAAATTTAATTTGGTTACCTGAACTTGTTTTTTACTTAACTATACATAAAAACTAATAGCTTAGGGATAATACAGGTTGAATTATGTTGTTTATCATTTATCCTTATTTGATAGAATAAGGCTGCCCGTGGTAAAATTATGAAAAAAATAGAATAATGACTTTAGCACCTTAGGTTCCTAGCCATTTCCCCAGGAAACTTGTTTTCTTCTCTACTTTTACCATTAAATGTTATTTCTATATGCAGATAGCCTTCTCTCTGGTCCTATTCTCATGTCAGCAAAACATGTCTATTTAGGGCTCCATTTCCCATACAACTGGTGCCCTGTGATGTTACAGTTGTCTCAGATGCTGTTAGTATGCCTCCTCTTCCAAACACTGAATGCTTTAGCCAAAATAAATTGACAAAAAGTTCAGATGCTGTGGCAACTGACTTTGTAAAATATTTTTTCTCTATGGATCTTTTACCTTAACTCAGAACAGTGGATTACATCGCCCCACACTTTGATTATAGATAATATATTCCAAGACTAAGGAATAGTGCACCCAGGAGAGGCCTCATTTTTTAAGAGCTCAGCTGATTGGAATGGGTTTCAGTGTTTGGGTTTTGATGTCTAACTCAATAGTTTGAAGGAGGAACCTAGTTACCATTTAGGTTATACGAAGAAGTTTCTGTTTATCCTGTCTGATGGGTAGTGAGATTTCTGATACACATCAATTTTTATTTAAAAAGGGAAAGAGTGAACTGAGCACATAAAAGTGGCATCTTATTGTATTTTTCTATGCACAACATATTACCTTTCCAAAGTTTCTGGGAATCTAGGTTTCAGATGTAAGATGTGAAATTTACTAATTGCAGAGGTATTTTTTTAGCTGATTAAAATTCCTTTTCAGTCCTCCATGCAGTACATCTGTGTTCCACCATTTGGGAAAGTGGTGAACTATGAATAAATGATGACTACTTATAACAATGACCGTTTCTTTATTTTCATAGGAAAGAAAAGAAAAATTCCTGTGAGTAGAGAAAAGCCATAGTGGGGTTATATATCCTCACTTTGAAAACTACCAGGTTTAGGCAACCTCATTTCATCCTGACATAGCAAAATATGTGTAGGAGAACAGTGGAGGAAAAATTGGGTACTGCAGAGCAACTGTATAAGGAGAGATTCAAAGACTAGACTATGTATTTAGGAAAGGTGAAATGGAAGATTAGCTGGAAAAATAGAATAAAGAAAGCCATTCAGGGTTTCTAATTATCCTTTCTTAGAAGGACAAAAAGGCGTCCCATGAATATAATGGCAACCCATAGTAGAAATGTCAGAAAATAATTTTTTAGAACTTTATAAATAGCCTATGGGATGGAAACCTGAAAAATAGCAAGATATACAAAGGTTAGGCAATTTCTTTAAAAGTATTATAGTTGATAAAGTATCTGCCACCACATTAAAATATTCTTGTTTTTGTTTTTTGAGTTGAAGTCTCACTCTGTTGCCCAGGCTGGAGTGCAGTGGCATGCGCTCATGGCCACCACACCCTCCACCTGCTGGACTTAAGTGATCGTTCCACCTCAGCCTTCCAAGTAGCTGGGAACTATAGGCATGCACTACGATGTCCAGCTTATTTTTTTATTTATTATAGAGATGAGGTCTCACCAAGTTGCCCAGGCTGGTCTCGAACCCCTGAGCTCAGGCAGTCCTCTTGCCTCGGTCACCCAAAGTGCTGGGTTTATAGGCTGAGCCACTGTACCTGGCCTATTTTTGTTTTTAATATACAGTGGACATTTCTATATAGGAAAAATTGACTTGGCTTCAGTTACAGCTGACACCAAAAATTAATGTCACATCTTCTAAGACTGTGTAATATATTATTCATGTAAAAACATGTGCAACTCCTAAGGTTTATAACTAAATGAAGGGTAAAATTGTAGTAACTACTTTAGTACACCTTATAAAGTGTTTAGTCCTTATACTTAATAGCATAAACCATTTAGCAAATTAACACCGTAGAATGATACTGCAGAATTCAGGGCATTCTTTAATTTTCACAATTTCCTTGAAGTATTGACCTTCTCAGAGACAAAGCTATTACCAGTCTGCTAAAGTTAGAATATATATTGATTTCTTTAAAAGTGTCAGTTGTGTTGATGAATTTGCCAAACCTTCGACCTAATTTAGATGGGATATTATTGTGCTGCTGCTATTTTTATTTCTCTAGTGTTGGAATTAATAGATCACCAACTCTTCATTTTCTTCCTCCTAACTGGTTTGGATTCCTGACAATAATTTTTTATATTTTGATAAAAATTTACATACATGTATTTGCTGTTTTTAACTATATAGTGTTTGTTCATACTATTATATTACCCATTTTCCCCTTTGAATTATTCTCCATTTTGTGTACAAGTGAGTTTTTCTTTCTTCCAATTTAGAAAGGTCTAATCAGATTTTGGTTTTTCCACCTTCCTTCTTTGAGGATTATGAAATCCCTGGAATTTCCAATAAGTTTCCAACTTAATGGGGAAACACTGGGATAAAAATAACCATGCATTCCCATTGGTCAAGGATCCTAAGCATGAGAGTCAATCATTATAAAATATTTCAAAATAATAATGAATTGTGAAAAACCATGAAAATATTTACATCAAAATCCTCATTTTGAATAATTCCTTTGAGATGAGTGATTCTGTACTACTAAAATTATTTTTATATTTCAACCTGAAATCATTTTTTTCTTCTTAATTACAGATTTTTATTCATTCTTCTGGGACCCCTGGGAAAAGGTCAACAGTACCATGAGATTGGCAGATCGATTGCAACCCTAATGACAGATGAGGTATTTATTCAAATTTATTGGAAACATTTTTCCCCCACTAAATTTTGGAAGTCCTGCTTTCAAGACAGTTTGTTGTGAATCTGACTTCTCTATATTGTATCCCATTCTCCCATGCTTCCATAATAAAATTTCCTTTGGAAAAATTTGTTCCAAAGAAATATTAAATTAAACACATGAATATTTCAAAACATCATATTGTAAAAATATGTGTTTAGTGGTATTTATGATATATTATTAATATTCTCCTATACAGTATATGTGCTGCCAAAGTTTGCACCATTGTTAATATCATTGCAAATCTAGTTTTGGATAAATAATTTTAAAGTCTAAAGAAAAAAACAATGGCAGTTTATCTGAATAGTATACATAACACCAAAAAGCCATACATCTTTCAATTCTCTACAATTGCCTGAATATAGATCTTCTTAAGTTGAGAGTCTTTGGGCTATTAGAGGAGATTTAGATGGATTTCAAGGGGCTTGTGATCTCCCTGATATAGCACACACATTTTTCTATGTAAAAAATGTATATGTAGAATTTTTTTGAGCTGAAGGAATCTTTCAACAGCTTTTCAAAGAGAAGCGTATCTCAAAAATGTAAGACCATAAAAAGTAGCATCATACAACTATTTTCTTTGACTATGCCCCAACACATTATGGAAATTTGGTCTTATTGTTGAAGGGAAGAGAAGATGTAATAGATCACAGAAGGGCATTAATTCAAAATTCAGTAGTAAATGAACAAAAGGGACATTCACTTTCTAGTATATCATCTAAATAATTTAATGATGTATTTGTTGAAATACATGATTGCAGGTACTTGAAAATTCTGGAAAAAGAGCCATTGGTATCGTGTACTACTTCTTTTTCTAGGTTTATGAACTCTGAAAATTTGAACTTGTGTTTGGAGTTCAATAGTATTCTTTTTTTTTTTTTTAAGAAAACAGGATTTATTGAGAGAACAGAGAAGCTCCCACAGTGGGAGGGTACCTGAAGGGGTTGCCCCAGTATTAACTCTTATAACTCTCCAAATTGCTTTATGATTTTATATGAATTAGTAATTGATACAAATAGGAAATCAAAAAAAGAAAATTTTTTTATCAGTTTTCAGAAAAAAACAACTGAATGAGAGTATTAGTTTACAATAGCTGCCATAAGAGATTACCACAAATTGGATGACTCAAAACAACAGTAATATATCTTCTCACATTTTTGAGGCCAGAAATCTGAAGTCAATAACTTACCAAATTTAAGAACAAGCATCAACCGTCTAATAAAGTTTAGAACATGAATCCTTTAGACTTGAAAGTTTAGAGCACAGCTTTAGTGCAATTTGTAATTCTTTGTGGGTCACAGGATAGAGAAGCAGAAGCTCAACCAGAAAGTTACTCTAAAAGAAAAGAGGTGATAATTATAATAGAATATCTTAATTATAATAGGACACTGATTGAACATTAAATAATATTTAAATACTTTTGAAAGAGGACACTTTTTTTATTGTTCAAAGCCTAGATGGGGTTATTGTTCTCCTTATGTAATTGCTTTGAAAGCTATTGAATAATTATACTCATTAAGGATAAAATTTAATATGTTGATTCACTAAGTTTACTTTGGTTAAAACAGCAAATTGGATTGTGTTATCAAACTATAAATTTCATGAGAGCATTTATGACTCAATATTCATTTTTTTGTTCAGTTTGATATTATTGAGTGTCCCTTCTTGCTTTTTTTCCCCATGAATAACAGCTAAAATTTGTTGTGTGCTTTGTTTTGACACTAAATCTCTAAGATTTCTATTATTTATTACCTTGAGACCATGAATTTACCCTTCTGTATTGTGTTCAATAAGTTGTGTACCTTTATCACTCATATCTAAGTTTTTGATGTTATCTGGAATTGATTTATGTGTGGGATGTGGGTAGAGATCCAATTTAATGTTTATATTGATAATCACTTGGCTTAGTACCATTTATTGACTACTCCATCTTTTTTCACTGGTTAGCAATGCCTTCTTTCAAAAATAATTTGCCTCTATGCCAATGTCATGGTATCTTTATTGTAGTAATTTAATAATGAGTCTTGATCTCTAGGAAGAAAAGTACCTCCTCTCTTTGTTCTTTGTTCATTCATTTATTCAATATTTATTGGATGTAACCTAGTTATCAGGCACTCTTACAGATATTGAGTATATAGGAGTAAACACAATGGTCAAATGCTTTTTCTTTCATTGAACCCATAGTCTAATGGAGAGACAGACTAGCATATAACAAGTTAAAAAAATGGCCCATGGTAATAAATGCTATGGAGGAAACCATGAAAGCAGAAAAGGAAGAAAGAGGTGGGGTGAGGGGAGTTACGAGTTAAAATAAAGTGGTCAGAGAAGACATCACTGAGGAGACATTTCAGCAAAGAACCTAAAAGGAGAAAGAGGGCAAGCTATGAAGATACCTGAGGGAAGAGCTTTCCAAGCAAAAAGATAAGCAAAGGCAAAGTCTTCAAGACAGGAGTGTGTGGCTGGAATATCTGGTGAACAGTAAAGAGGACAACGTGGCTGAGCAGAAGTGAGAAAGAAAGAGTAGGCCATGAGATCAGAGAGATAAAAGAATAGAAGCCAGCCTGTATTGGGTATTTGTACGTCATGTAAGGATGTTGAATGAGTTGCAAAGCAAATGAAAATCTTTTATTAGAGAATTGACATGATTTAACTAACATTTAAAAATTATCACTTGGCTGCTATGTTCAGAGTAGACAGTAGAGGAGCAAGGGCAAAAAGGACCACTTGAGAGGCTACTGCTACAGTCCAGACAAGCAGAGCTGGTAAGAGAGATATCAATACAATCGCAATTTAAATTCTAACAGGATTTATAAAGGAGCTTGAAAAGTTTATTCTAAAAAATATCTGGAATAACAAAGGTCCAATCATAGTAAAAAACCGGCATGAAGAGAAAAAACCTTATATACTGGAATTTCTTCCTAATTTTTGCTACTTCTTCCCAGTCTCCTTTTCTGGGTCCTTCTTTTTTCCCACCCACTGAATTGAGGAGAACTTTGCTTCTTAATTATTCACTCTGACTCCTTCATCATCAGTTTCTTCCTCATGTCTACCAGCTCACAAAGATGATATAGAACCTCTTATCTTTTAAGAAAATGAAAGGAAGGGAGGAAGGAAAGAATGAAGATAGGGAGGGAGGGAGAAAGGAAAGGTTATTTCTAGTTTTGTGACCTTAGACGAGTTAAATGACCTCAACTATCTCTGCCTGATTTCCTCATCTTTAAACTGGCAATGATTATAATATTACTTATTTCATGTTATTAATGTGATAAATATATTCTTATTGTGTACTATATATTGGAGATAAAGTGGTAGAAATTAATAACTGGCCTCATAGAACAACCCTGAAGTTATCCTTGACTCCTCTATATCTCTAACGTCCCAAATCCAATCTGTCGGTAAATCTTCCTAGCTTGACTTTCACAGTATATCTAGAAGGTTATCTATCTCACTTTCTGCACAATTACCTGGCTTTCACTGTCATCATTTGGTCCATGTCATCATCATTTTTTTTATTACTGTGGTAGCCTCTTAGTTGTTCTTTCTGCCCTTGCCCCACTTTATTCTATTCTCAACTCAACAGCTGAAGGAATTCCTATTCAAGACCCTCCCATGGCTTCTTATCTCATTGAGTAAAAGTTAAAGTTCTTATGATGACCTACAATCCTGAAGGAAATTCTTCCGCTTTTTTCACCTTATTGTTTGGGTAACCTCTCCTGCTACTCTCCCTCTTGCTTGGTCCTCTCCAGGAACTGGCCTCCTTGCTACTTCTCAAACATGATATAATTGCCACACTGGCAATTCCATCTGCCTGAAAACTCTTGCTCCTGATAACTACATGGTATGCATCCTTACTTCTTCAAGTCTTTGATGAAATATCGACTCGTTGAGACTTCCTTAATCACTCTGTTTAAAATTACAGCATCCCCCAGTCATACCCCTTTCCTGCTTTATTTTCCTCCATAGCACTTTCTATCACTCACCAAAATATATTCTTATTTATATTGTTTAATTTTGGTCTCACTCTTCTCTTAGAATGCAGTCTCCATGAGGGTTTGGATTATTGTTGAGTTTGTTTACTGCTGTATCCCTAGCACCTAAATAGTGTGATAAATAATTGTTGAATAAATGTTCAGTAAATGAATGTTTTAGCAGGAAATGGGCATTAAACAATGAATTATATACGTAAAAATTAATTATAATTACAATGAAAGCTATCAAGAATAAGGAGAAGGTGTTAGGAGAGTATTAACAAAATGCATCATCTTGCTTGAGAGGGAGTCAGGGAAGGCTTCTCTGAGAAGTCAGATCTATGTTGAAATCAGAATGTAAGGTTAGTTAGATAAAAAGAAGATAGAAGAGTAATTGGACTGGATAAAAAAATGTAGTTCAGATAATACATGATAGAATATTATGTAGTCATAAAGAAGCACAAACATATGGACTTCACAGCAACTTGGATGGATTTAGAGTCTATAATACTCAGTGATCTATCACAGAAACAAAGAACTCAGTACCCCATGTTCTCACTCGTAAGTGGACCTTGAACAATTATCATACTACTACAAGAAAGGGATGGGCAGTGGTGGGAAACTGCCAAGGGGAGAGGGAGCACACTTCATCAATAAGAGTTCCTGATCTCAAACCAGGTGAAGTGGTGAACAAAGCGAGGCCCAAATTTTACCTGTACAATGACCATTTGTATACCAAACCCTGAATTGTACCCCACATCTTTAAAATAAAAATAAAGTAATTAAGTTATTGGTGAAATTGGTGATAGAAAAACAATAGTAAATACTGTTTATAATTTAAAAATCAAACAAATTGTGCTGTCTATATCTTTAAGAGGTTTTAAAATAACACAATTAGTTGTCCTGGATGAATTCAGAAATTCATCTATATAAAATCTGGACTCATGTAATCTCTCAAAGCAATTTTTTAATTAAATGAGATTAAATCAAGAAAGATTTCAAGAGAATTGCTACTAACAGAAAAAGAATGGAGTAGCTAAACTCTCATTAAAGATGAAGAATATTTGCACTTCTTAGGTGTTCAGATTAGGTCTCAAGGCTGTGAGATAATTTTTGGAAGAGGTTATTTTGAGTCATAAAATCGATAGTTTGTGGCAGGGAAATCTGTGTGTTTAATATTTTAAAAATATCTTTCTCAAAATACAACAAAACCATTAATATATCTTTGATTATTTTCATATTATCTTAGCAAAGACTATATATTTATCACACTGGTGATATTTTGTGATGTGTTCTTAGTCAGAAAGTCAAGAAAAAAGACTTTTAAAGTGATTATTGGCACTTCCTCAGCAGTTTAGATTGAGTATCATACCAGAAATGGAAACAAATTGTCTAAAAGTAGAATAGAATCTTTGAAAGTAGAATTTTCCTGGAAATTTTGAGATATTGAATCACTGTAATAAAGGCTGGCATAAATGATAATTAGGAGCCTTTAATCTCTGCTACATTTCATCTTTTGTGAAATAAAAAATATCAGAAATATTTATATTTAATTAATTTTTCCTGTTTATTCTATTTTTACTTTCCCCATTTGTACTAAGTCTATCATTCCTGTATTTGTTCATTAAGAGAGTTTAGGTTTGGGTGCAGGAATAACCAACTAAAATCTTAGTGGCTTTAAACAACAAGGTTTATTTCTACAATGCTGAGTGTCTACCACAAGCTGTCAGAGAGGCTTTGCTCATTATGATCACTCAGGCACCCAGTCTCATAGAAGTTCTATCTGGACCCGTGTTTTCTCAGTCTCTAAACCAGAAAATAGTAATGTGCTAAGTTACATGTTGGCACTCATAACTTTTGTTCTAAAGTCATATATGCACACCTAAGTAGAACACACCTAATCCAAATATCAAAAAAGGCAAAGAAGTGCAATCCTGCCATGTGTCTAGAGGAGGATCTAGAATGTCTGTGAACAGTCTAAATGTGTACTCAATGTGTGTGTGTTCATCTTGCTTGAAAGGGATGTGTGTGTGTGTGTGTGTGTGTGTGTGTGTGTGTGTGTGTGTGTGTGTATGTAGGAGGGCTGGGGAATAAGTATAACATATAATTTATACTTTGAATGGAAATACACTTTCTGCCCTATGTAGATATAATATACAATTGGTCTTTCATATCCACAGTTTCTGAATCCTCAGATTTAAATTACTGGGAATCAAAAATATTTTTAAAAAATACAATAATAAAAATAATACAAATGAAAACTTTATATTATCACAATGATTTACATAGCATTTACATTGTATTAGGCATTATAAGTAATCTAGAGGTTATTTAAAGTACAAACACTCCTCAACTTTCAATGGGATTGCGTCCTGATAAACCCATAATAAAATATCTTAAGTTGAAAGTATATGTTTAAATTTGATAGTTTCAACTTATGATAGGTTTATCCAGACGTTACCCCACTGAAAATGAAGGAACATCCTGAATGTGTATTGTTTTCCCATAATCATAAAGTCATAAAATTGTAAGACAAACCATAAAAAACTTGGGGACCCTGTGTACACATTTTGATGTGGATAGGTTATATGCAAATATTACACCAGTTTCTACAAGGGACTTGACCATCTTAGGTTTTTGGTATCTGCAGGGAGTCCTGGAACCAATGTTCTGTGGATACAGAGAGACAACTCTATATCCAGAAAATACTTACTTATAAACTCATTACTATTTTCAAAATTGAAACAAAATTAACCTTTAAAGTTAGTTTATGTATGCCAGAGTATAAGTATTGATGAAATTTTCAATACATTTTACAAATTTTGATTTGTATTTTTAAGTAAGGGCTTCCTCCAAAATGTTTGATTTTCACAAATATAAATAATCTTTGCCTATCTTAAATGATTACATCTAGTTTAATAAGTTTCCTTTCATCTTTTTCATTTCTGTTACTCATTCCTTCTAGAAATTTCAACATTAATCTGTCATCCTAAGAAAAATAGATATATGTGTGGATTCATAAAATAAGTTATAATATTTTACTTTACAAACTTTCTGAGATTCAGAGCTTCCTGTTTCTTCACATTGTTATAATCGCATGTAAGATAACTGGGATGGAAACACTGAGCACATAGTACCACATGTTCTCACTTATAAGCAGACTTTGAACAATTATCATAATACTATAAGAAAGGGATTGGCAAGTGGGAAACTGCCAGGGGAAGAGGGTAAGAGGGGTGGATGGGTTTGACAGTAGTGGGAAATTGCCAGGGTTGGGGGGTGGGGCACACCTCATCAACAAATGTACCTGCATAATGAACATTTGTATACCTAACACTGAATTGTACCCCACATCTTTAAAATAAAAAATTTTAAAAATAAAATAAACAAATTTTATAATTATTTTTAAACTATGAATATTTTTATTTCTTCTAAAGGTATTTCATGATGTTGCTTACAAAGCTAAAGATCGTAATGACTTGGTATCAGGAATTGATGAATTTCTGGATCAGGTTACTGTTCTCCCTCCTGGAGAATGGGATCCAAGCATTCGAATAGAGCCTCCCAAAAATGTTCCTTCCCAGGTATGTATATTTTAAGCCATTCTAAAAACACAAACAGATTTTAAAAACACATTATTTTATTGTCTTTTAAATGCCTGTTTTAAAATTGCATAACCCATCAGAAAAATTTAAATGATAACCTCTAAGAAAGCAGGGGCATGAAGCTACAAAAATTATTATATTTGTATTAGTTTTGTGTGGATGTGTGGCATAAAGATTGTATTTTACTCATCATACAATCCAGAAAGATAAAAATATACATATAGACCAATGCTAGTTTCTGGGGTTATATATTTTTTTATTATTTCAGACATTAGTGTTAAGAGTGATAGCCAAATGTTAGGTAAGCCCATTCCTCCTATTGTCTCCTCTACTTCTACTGAATGTGCCTCCCACAATGTTCCCAAGTTGTAATGTTCTAAGCTTTGCCTTTTGTCCATGTCCTGTGGAGTCTAGCTGGGTCTGACCATGCTGCCTTATTTGAAGCCTAATTGACCCAACCTTGGACTTAGAAGTTTTTCTGGTTCACCATAGGTGGGCAAGGAATTAGGTGTACCACTTAACAAAGTCACCTCAATCCTATAGTCAATTTAATGAAAATATACTGATATCTCATTTCTATATTTTCATTCTGAAGTCATTTCAAAATTATTAAAGACTATTTACTTTATTAAAAATTACCATTTTTTAGCTGGGCTCGGTGGCTCAGCCTGTAATCCCGCGCCTTTGGGAGGCTGAGGTGAGTGGGTTGCCTGAGCCCGTGGGTTCGAGACCCGCCTGGGCAGTGAGACCTCATCTCTACAATAAATCAAAAAATCAGCTGGGCATGGTAGCGCATGCCTGTAATTCCGGCTACTTGGAAGGCTGAGGTGGAAGGATTGCTGGAGCCCAGCAGGTCAGGTTGTGGTGGCCGGGAGCGGCCACTGCACTCCAGTCTGGGCGACAGAGTGAGACTCCAACTCAAAAAAAAAAAAAAAAAATTACCATTTTTGATTCTATAACTGTAGTCTTGTATTTCAGTTGATCAATTACTAAAATTACTTAAAAAATAATTGTAGAGGTTGTAGATATTCTCATTTCTCTTCTAGCATATATTTGTACTAATGATATTAGAAAAGGCAATATAACGCATCTTGAAGTAATAAGATAGGAACTCTTTAACTGATGTTATCTGGAGAAATTCTGTGAAAATATTAATACATGGAGAATGAGACTTTGATACCAATTAATTATTCAAATGTTAAAAGTTGAAGTTTTTGAAAACACTTTATTTTTGAAGAATAATATTTTTGAAGCAAGTTGAGGGATGGGAGGTCTATCTTTTTTATGTAATCCTTTAAAATCAGAATTAATTATTGGATTCTGGATATTGAGAAGCTGTAGTAAAAGAAACATTTAATTAATATATCAAGGCATCAGGGTTCTGTTATTTTCTATTTGTATAAACTTGAACAAATGCTTTAACCACTCTACTGATGTTCTATGTCAACATTGTCCAATAGAGCTCTACAATGATAAAAATGTTCCATTTTTATCTATCTAATAATCAAGCCACTATTGAGCACAAGAAATGTTGCTACTGCAACTGGAGGACTAAATTTTTAATTTAAATTAACTTAAATTTAAATAGACATCATGGTTACTGGCTATCATCTTGGACAGCATGTTTCTATACAATGAGTTTTAATTAGAGATACTCTCTATGCTTCTTTTCAATGTTAATGTTTTAAAAATGTATGTCGGGCTCGGTGTCTCAGCCTGTAATCTCGCACCTTTGGGAGGCTGAGGTGAGTGGATTGCCTGAGCCCGCGGGTTCAAGACCCGCCTGGACAGCGATACCTCATCTCTACAATAATCAGCCGGGCGTGGTAGCGCATGCCTGTAATTCTGGCTACTCGGAAGGCTGAGATGGAAGGATCGCCGGAGCCCAGCAGTTCGAGGCTGCGGTGGCCGGGAGTGGCCACTGCACTCCAGTCTGGGCGACAGAGTGAGACTCCAACTCAAAAAAAAAAAAGTATGTTGTAAATGAATAATAGATATAACGATGCTATATTTTCTTTTATTAGATAGAATAAAATGATTTAGTATGTATTAGGGCACTCTGATTTCATACTTGTTTAAATAATATTCTCCCCTGTGGAATAATTTCCATAGTTTTTACTCTTTTGAAATGTGTAAATCATGGCATTTTAAATATTTTTTCTTTTTAGTTAAGAGAATAACTTGTCACCCCAAAGGATAATCCTGAAAATATTCATTAGAACTTTGTGTCAGTCATTAAAATCACTCCCTTGTGTACACCTTCAACTTTGTTTTTCTCTCATGCCATGCACTTTCTTGTCAAAATAGCAGCCCTGTGAGAATTCAGCTCTTTATTCTGTACTTACATTGATGTAGCTGAAATTGAAGGAAATCATATAACTACACTGACTGACTTCATATAAATTCATGACCACCTATCTCAAGGGGGCCCTTGATGTTGCAAGTTCATCATACCATACTTCCCTAGTCCAATTATTCTCACTTGATGACTGTTTCACACCTATTATTCTCTCCTCTACCTTCCACACATTGTTTCTGATTCTTATTCTCATATGTTGACATGTCTCTTACTTCCCTGAGAAATGTGAAACTACCAAAAAAGAACTTCATACCTATCCACCTGCCAGCATCTCCACCCACCTACTCTGCTTTCCTATGTAGTATTTTAGATGAGCTATTCAAAGTCAGTCTTCTACTTGTGTACTAGATCTCATCTGTCTACACCTACTCAAGAATAGTCCTCTAGCAATTCTTCTTTTTCTCCTCTATATCACTACTTATTTTGTTTCTATATAATAACATTTTTATTAGCATAAAACATGCAATTAATTCACGAATTTAAAAAAATTGTCTTGATACTACTATGTGACTAGCTACTCTTCTTCATTCTCTTTTGCAACAGAAGGCCACAGAACAGTTTTCTGTATTACCTGCCTCCGATTACTCTCCTCCAATTATCTCTTAACACTTATTCTGGCAGGCTTTTGCCCCAACCACTTCACTAAAATACCTTTGAAAGTTACCAGTAATCTCCATGATGGTACATCCCATGGCCCATTCTTAGTTTACATTTTATTTAACTTGTTAATCAGCAGACTTAACAGAGTTGATGACTCCCTTTTTCTTGATATACTTTCTTTACTTGGCTCCCCAGACACCAGACTCTCTTGGTTTTATTGTTGTAAAGTGTTAACTTATCAGGAATAGTTCTCCAGAAGATCATATAATATTACTTGCTTTCTGAGACTTGTAGAAGCTATGAAGTATTCTCCTGGGTGGCTGGGAAATAGGTATTGAGGGCCACTTTTAAATCTCTTCAATGTATCCTATTTGCCTATAAAGCCAGTTTCTTCATCAGTTGACAAAAGTGTTCTCTTATTTGTGAACTTCAATCTTATTGTATCTACCCATATGCCTTGAGAGATTGCAAAAATATTAAGTAATAAACTTTCCTATATGTATGTACAAAGGGGGCCAAAAAACCTGGAATTTATTTATAAAAATTGTATATTTATTCTCACATGCTTAAACTTCAGTCACTTTCAAAGTACTCTCCATTTGATGCAATATACCCATCAAGACATTTTTTCCACTGCTCAATAGTTTTTGAACTCACCAATTTAGATGCCTTTTAGTGCTTTTGCCATTTTTTGTTTCACGTTTTCCACATCAGCATAACGTTGCCCTTTGAGAACTTTATTTCATCCAGGGAAACAAAAAAAAGTTGCTTGAGGTGAGATCAGGTGAATAGGGAAGGTGGGGCATGGGAGACATGCTGTTTTTGGTCAAAATCTGCTGAACACTCAGCATGGTATGAGCAGATGTGCTTGTAGGTCACCCATCATGAAACGGGCAAACATGTTGAAAGAAACTAAAAAAAAAAAAAAATTTACTGAAGCTGAATGCAGCCTCTTACAACAATGCTAGCTGGTACACTGATGTCAATGGGTTCCTAGAACACTTACCTAGCAGGGGAAGCCTGTACTATAGGGAGTCCACCCACCAAAAAATAATTCTGGTTTTCTTGGGGTTCCCCCTCATATTTCAAAACCTGTTTTCTTATATTTTAAATCTGTATAATTCCATCTAAGTGTTCCATTGTATATAAGAACTGTTGATGAGTCATTTTTGTTCTTCATGTATAAATATGAAGAACAAACTAATTCTATTTTGGAATAGCAGTCAAATAGATATTTTAATTGCACAACTTAAAATTTTTTATTATCCTTTGTGTTTTGGACACATTGGTATGCTCTAAGAGCACTATAGATAGGATTTTAGGTTGGACTTTCTGAATTCTAAAAAAAAAAAAAAAAAACCCTGTCACAAATAAAAGTGCATGGAAGAGACCTATGGGAAAAACAGCATGTATCTAAATTTCTATTAATTTGTCATGGATTAAATTAGAAGACTCCTTTTCCAATAGTTTTTTGGGTCTCTATGGAGATGAAAAACCCCATATTATAAATTATTTCCTGAGTGGAAAGATATCTACTGGAATCATAGTGAGAAATATAGTTTAAAATTAGTGATATTGTTCATGTTTATTGAACACTTAAGCTATGTTGGGCATATAACAGTACCATACCTAACACCTTCTCAGACTAACCTAATCCCATCCGGATTGCTTTTCATCCCTTTGTCTTACTTCATTTTTCTTCATAGTTTCTTTCTCTACCTGATATTAAAGATTTATTATCTCTTTCCACTAAGAGTGCTTTTTCTTGCACACTTTTCCTACTCTAGCATTCATAAAAATGAATGGCATATACGAGGCGCTCTAAGTATTAGCTGAAGGAAAAGTAATTGTTTGAAAAAATAAATGCTCATCACCTCATTTAATTTTCTCAGCCACACCAACAGTATTAAGATAGGTACTATTGTCTCTCTCAGTAAGGAGGGAACTAAAACTTTAGGAGACTAGATAACTTCCAAAGGTCAAGCAGCAAATAAATAAGAGCCTGGGTTCTTAGCCACTCCGCATATTGTTTCAAGGAAACAAGCTGTTATTGTTGTTTACAATTAACACCTGAAATTAAAACAAAGCAACTTGCAAAGCAAACTTCCTGCAGGAGAAGAGGAAGATTCCTGCTGTACCAAATGGAACAGCAGCTCATGGGGAAGCCGAGCCTCACGGAGGACATAGTGGACCTGAACTCCAGCGAACCGGAAGGTTAGTGAAAACCACTTGTATGGAACTTCAAGAACCAAATGACATGCCATTCTTGTTTGTCAGAAATTGCTATTTCAAAATCCAATCTATCTTATATTTTTAATACCTACTTTTTGGGGAATGAAAATGCCAATTAACTTGATTTCTCTGAAGTTACTAATGATTATCATTACTGTTAAACCAAAACAGTGGATATACCATTCCATTTTATCTTACCTAGTCTTTCATTTTGCTGTGCATAAAATGCGTACCCAGTTCTTAAAATGAATAAGGAAACTGTTAATTGGCTCTTTCAAAAGAGCCCGTTGAAAGTTTCAAGTACAAGATAGAAATAAAACTAAAACCAAGAGCTCAGCCTTGTAGACCCTATTTCATTGAATCCAAGTAGCATGTATATAATAATATTTTTTACCTTTATGGTTGTTGAAAGAGCTATATGATTTATTTTTCTAATCACACATCTTTGAAGAGATGAAAGCTTCAATTTATTTCTTAAAATTGTTCTTTATGGTTTTCTGACAGCTAGTCTCTCTCCAAGCAATGTGTGAGCAGAAGCCCTTGGGTGGGTGTCTCTTCAGGGAATATGTGTTTACAGCCTCCATTATAATTAAAGGCAATTGCAAATGCTCTGTAGGATTGGTGTTCCCCTCCCTTCAAGGCCATTTCCTGTACTGCTTGCAATGTGTCCTCTAAGCTGACTTTCCAGTTCCTGACAACTCTGCATTTTAATTCTGTGTTCTTTTCCTTTATCTATGTTTTGTCTCTGAGGAAATGTCCTTTAATGTCTTCCTCAGACTTGAGACTTTATTTGAGATGGTTCGAACAATTTTTTTCCTTTTCCCTCACTGGAAGCTTTGTTAGTCATTCTGTTTGCCTTCATACTTTCAAATGCTGTCTTTATTTTTGGTGGTTTTATTTTCTTTTTTTTTCTCTCTCTCTCTCTCTTTCTCAGGTATACATGCCACATAGCTTAGATTTTTTTCGAAGTTCACTTTTCCTTACTGCTTCCTAAATCCTCCCAGGTCACCAATATCCGGTATCTTCGCTTCTCCAGAGTTCTTCCACAGATTCTGTTGCTGACATGACTTGAAGTATCCATTACTCATCTGCTCTCCTGGAGTTGCTGGTGTACATCTGGGCTGCTCTTGCACTGTTCTCTGTAATGAACTCCCACTTCTGGATTTAGATTTTTACTGCTAAAAGCACATTTATTACACAGTAGTATGACAGCTATTCAGACTAATGTATGCTCTAATAAGTAATTAATTGGAAAACAATGGTCTAATATAAAGTGCTATTGAAGCTATAAATATTAATTACTAATTAATAGCTCTTAACCACCTCAAATTCTTTTTGGGATTAGTTGGGATATAAATCACAAATGAATGCATCAATAGAGTAGTAGAGTAAATCTGTTTTGAATTGTAACTTTGATAAGTTAACAAATTATTCAGAAATGATCTCCCAAATTAAATATATATATACTTTACCAAACACAAGTAGAGATACCCAAGGTGATATTTGTGTGTGTGTAAATTTCACAGGTTCTCTGCAAGCTTCTCTGAGCCTCAGATGTTATTTTTTTCAATTGAAATTTTATTCTTCTCAACCCTCTCCTATTTCATATCTCTCCAATGGAAGCAATGACTAGAAAAATATAATGATTTTATACCCACATAATTTAATAGTAATATAGTTACTAATATGTAACTATTATGTATAAATCAGGTCAGGAAAATTAAAAATAATGATAAAATTTTTTAAATTATTCTGAGTATGTACATTTTTCAAGGCAAGCCAGGATTTGTTTCTTAAAAGAACATTCATTTTTGAAGTGATTCTAAGACTTCCAAATGAATATTTCTACTCATACAATAAATAACAAAAGTGTAACATTTTTGTACAATCCTAGTATATTCAGCATGCTGGCAGTATATTGAAGCATAATATATTTTTAAAGAAGAAACATCATAGGTTTTATTCACCATTAACTTTTATGTAGCAACTTAATCATAATTGTATTCATTTTTATTTCACATCTTTATTCCATAGAACACAAAGAACTTTCAGTAGTCAAATGTTGTCTTCATATTATAATTAAATGTTGAAAGAATGAGAATACTGTTTATTAAGTTCTCATTTCTAATAGACTAAAAAAAATTTTAGTGCCCAAATTTTAAGCATCATTTTACAGTTTAATACTTGCCCCCCTCCCAAAAAAAAATCCTCTTTCAAGTGATTTAGAGTTATTTTGGATATATTTGGAATAAATGAATTTATACCAAGTAAGGTCATTATTGTAGCTAATAGATGATGGGATATGTTAAGACAATAGTGGATTGAAATTACATTTATCTAATTTAGTTATTATAAGCACCTTTCTAGTTTACTAAAAATGAAAACAACTCTAAAACCTATCTGTCTTTACTAAGTATTGCTACGGTTCATGAGGCTATTTAGATGTCTACCTAGAACAATATCTGGTGAACATTTCTTTTCTTTTTGATTTTTTTTTTTTTGGCAGAGAGAGTAGTAACTGGACCCATAGTTAAACACTGCTTTTTCTCTCTAGAGTGATGTTCACTACTGGAATATACAAAAGCCAGTTAACCCTCCCTCCTTTACTTTCTGATATGCTAAATGAAATGTAAACAATTAGAAAATATTGCCAATGATTGAGGATGATAGGCCTGAGTTTAGGAGGAGTAGATTGATGCAAAATGACAAAGAGATTATAATAATCATTGAATCTCATTATTTGAGTTTTGATTGATGAACAGCTCTGAACCTTGTTTGAGAGAACCTGGGATTTTTGGTAGTTGATACAATATTTGGTTAGGAATTGAGGTAACATAGTGGTGCAAAGCTGTCCCTATAGATCACTATAATACAACATAGCAGGTTAATGCGGGTCTTACCTCTGCTGATGGAAAACATGTACTGTGGCCTGGCAACAAAACAAGTGAACATTTTGATGTGTGTGTGTGTTATATTTGGGTTTCACTGTTGTGTTTTCCCCCCTTCTTAGGATTTTTGGGGGACTTATTTTAGATATCAAAAGAAAAGCTCCATACTTCTGGAGTGACTTCACAGATGCTTTCAGCCTGCAGTGCTTAGCATCTTTTCTATTTCTCTACTGCGCGTGTATGTCTCCTGTCATCACGTTTGGAGGACTGCTGGGAGAAGCAACTGAAGGGCGTATAGTATGTATTATGCTTTCCTCTGAACTGTGAAACTTAATCCATTTTTAAGATCCATAGTTAGATAAGTGAGCATTTAATTTTGGATTCCTTTATGTGGAGAGATTTGATGTATGGTCTGGCAGATAAACCTCAGATGAATTTCCTGGATGGCTAATGGAACTGGTAAACTGGGAACGGACTATCTCAGAACAGCTAGTTCTGAATCTGACACGAGGTTCTGATCTGATGTCCTGCTTCCTTTTCCCCAAGCCTATGTAGCTTTAGGCTCTATTCTTACCTGACAAGAGTTCCATTTCCCATATATCCAGCTCATGTTTCTGTTCAGACGCTAATCCTGAACACACTTAAACCTTTTGTAACGCAACAGAAACATGAGATAGGAAGGTAGAGGACACCTCCCCATTTGCTACCATCCATTTTCTGCTTACTGTCAGCCCTTTTCCTCGCCCTCCTACCACACATGCCAGGCTTTTCATAGTGAAGAAGAAAGCACATACCCATGTATTTTAACATTTTCTCCCTAGTTACAATGGCTACCTGTACAGCATAGGTAATGGAACCATTTATATCTCTACACAGAGTGCAATCGAATCTCTCTTTGGAGCATCCATGACCGGGATAGCCTATTCTCTCTTTGGTGGACAGCCCCTTACCATATTAGGCAGTACAGGACCAGTTTTGGTGTTTGAAAAGATTTTGTTTAAATTTTGCAAGTAAGTGTTATATACTCTTGGCCCTTAGCCCTTTTGTTTTTCTTTCTTTCTTTTTTTTTTAATTGTATTTATACTTCTCCCAGTATTGCTTTTGGAGGTCTACTGGTAGAGGTGGAAGTGGCTGATTTGATTCAATTTTGTCATTTTTGTCTCTCTGTGAAAATAGATGAAAAGTGCAAGATTTGTGTATAATGTTATGTAATATTTATAAAAAGTAAGACTCAGTTCTAAGTACTGAGAAATCCTTTTTAGTTTTGTCATCTTAGATATTCCCTTCAGACAAAGTCTTGAGTTCAGATACTCATGGGATGTGAAGCTTATTTTCTTTCACTTCCTGAATTAGCTTACTTTCAGTTATTTAAAATAGTGGCAAGCTGTTAAATGACCTTCTTTCCACTATTCTTTCCTTCTCCTCTTCTTAGAGAATACGGGCTGTCATACCTATCTTTAAGAGCGAGTATTGGACTTTGGACTGCAACCCTATGTATCATACTTGTGGCTACTGATGCAAGTTCCCTTGTCTGCTATATAACTCGGTTTACTGAAGAAGCTTTTGCTTCTCTAATTTGCATCATTTTCATTTATGAGGCTCTGGAGAAGTTGTTTGAACTCAGTGAAGCATATCCAATCAACATGCATAATGATTTGGAACTGCTGACACAATACTCGTAAGTACCATTTCCCCTGTTGTCTGTGGGGCTTTTCTTTTTACAAATATTGCTACTGTTATAAGACATATGAGGAACTTACTTAGCAGAGAATATGCCTTAAGTTGATTCATGACCTAAATCCTGGACTTTCAGAATTGAACAGGATTTTAAAAGTCATCTAATCAACTACTAATCTGATACTTGCATCCTGATTATACCATCTCTGAGTATCTTTTTCAAGTTCTATTTGTCAAGTATGCTCTAAAATAGAGATAATGAACCAAGTCAATTTTAATATCTACAGATTTTACTTTCACAAGCTATATGCTATTCTGATGTTCCTTCAGGGTCTTTTCAATTTGCTAAAATTCAAAGAAATATAGTTATGAAAATATAAGATTTCAGATTTAGAGTAGTACAGTAAAAAACTCATTGGGTTTAACTTTTACTAGCTTGATATTTGAAAGTGTGATAAAAACATAAGTCGCTGAATATCTATTTAATTTTGCTTTTGGAACTTGTGGCATTTATGTTGGAAATACTCAGGTATTACTTGTTGAAGCTGATATTACAGTTTGGGATTAAAGATGTGATTGGATCTGTTCCTCTTTCTAGTTTTTGTATGCCAGCAGTTTGGAATTTTTTTCCAGGTTTGTCTGTAGATAATATGTGACCATTAAATAACTTTTGAATCTAATTTTAGGATTTTTTGTTGCATTTGTGAATAGACTTTTATTCAGCAATTACTTAAAGCAATATATTCTTTATGAGACAATTTAACCTCTGCATCAACCACCAGTGCTTTTCCTATAAACTGATTAGATATGGGCTCAAACCTTTTGAAATTTTTTTATCTTTACTTACTACTAGAGATATAAATTGTTAAAAATAGAAATAAAGTAGTGCAACATTATAACTTTGTTTAGAATGATGTAATGATACAATGTTGAAAATAACATGGTTTTGGTCTTTAGAGCTAGCTTTAATATACATATTTTTGGACAAGAAAAAATCAAAGTATAAATATAAAATGACTTTTCCAATAAAAGCAAATAGTAAGAGTGTTGTGAGCAAGGTTAAGAAGGGTCACTCAAAAAGCAGACAGGTGGAAAAAGCAGTATGATTAGAAACAGAGATAGCATTAATATATGTCCTTTCATTTATCTTTATCTAAAAAGAGAGTTACTGGATTTGGATATTCTTACTGGGATATATAATTATTTCTGGTTGGATTTTCAAACCTACTACATGCCAGGTATTATATTAGGTGCTAGGGAAATCATTATGAATAATATTCTGTTCTTAATGAGCTTCCAGTTTAGTAGGGGATGTAGACAAACAGACAATATGATTAAATGAATGCTGTGTTAAGAACTTGGTACAGAATGCTATGGTTCCATGTCAGAAGAGCACCTAACCCAGATTTGGGGTTCAGAGAAGGCTTCCAGGAGGAAGTGACATAGAACAAAATTCAGTAGGGGTCAAAAAGACACTGAAGAATAGGGCAGAAAAGTGGTTCTGACAGAGGACATACACAAGACTGGATGCAAGAGATTCATTAAGGCTTTGAAATATTTGTCCAAAGTCATAGAGATAGTGGCAAAACAAGAAATAAAATCCAGATTTTATTACTGATGTACTTTCAAACACACTGATAAATACAAATAAGTACTCCAAAAGAAATGATGTTGAGCAAATCCAACAGGTAAATGCAGAATTATTCTGTCTGAAATGATAGGAAGGCACCTATTGCCCACCCTTCTACCTGTTCTCTGACCCTTGGCAACTTCTTAAGTATTTCAGACTGAGGAACACAGTTTGAAATCTTTTGGTCTAGTATGGAAAATAATTGGAGAAGCAAGGACTGAGCCCTGGATAATGTTCACAGCTTAAAGGTAGAAGAATGAAATATACAACCTAATGAGATTAAAAAAACAAGAGGCATCAGAGTAGGAGAAAATCATGGATAATATCAGGTCTTAGAAAGCAAGGGGCAAGAATGTATGAAGTCTTTAGAGAGAATAGTGTGTGGAGATCAAACAGAATAAGAAAAGGATTTTGAAAAGAGGTCTTTGTTAACTTTAGAAATGATAGGTTGACAGAGAAGGTAGGATGAGAAACTAATTTGCAAAAATCTAAGAAGGAAGTAAGAAGTAAAGAAATGTAGAAATTGTTCACAGGCCACGTTGGTGCCAAAGAAAATAAAAACAGAAAGCCTGTTGAAGAGGGCAGTGAGATCACAAGAATGGTAATTTGTGATAGAAAAGAGCTACACAAGTTTCAAAATAAGGACATTGAGATAGAGGAAAGAGAGAGATAGAAATGATAGAGAGAGAGAGAGAGCAGATAAACATGGGATTGCAGCTTCCTAGGAATCAAAAAGTGATGAGATCATGACAAATAGTGTGGTTAAGTATGACAAATGCTCAAAGAATAATTTGAGAATGAGAATAGCTTTATGTGTTCATAATCCCTGTCTGTCATGGTGACCAAAAAAGGAATGGCAGAGGTACTTTTTCCATGTTTCCATCTCTGCTTTTAAAAAAGTAACTGCACAAATTTGTTTTTACTCTATCAGTGTATGTGAAACCTAATTGTTTAAAGCCTGAGCATGAATGTGTGTTGATCACTGTGTTCCATTGCCTAAGTGACCTTCTCCACCAACATTGAAGAGAGAGAAATAATAGAAAGGCTGGTTCATCCTAATGGGCAGTGAGGTTTTAGTGTCATCTATCACCTGAAATGAGTATAACAGAAACAGAATTGACAGCCTCCCTGGGAAATGTGGTACTGACTAGATACCCTTACCATACTGGTTCTTCACTTCAGTTGTTACACCATGACTGGCCACCAGTAACCAGTCATGTTGTATACATCAATCTGATCAGATATTGCCATTACTTGCTCTTTGGAGAGGGAAAAATCAATGCTATTCATATTACACATATATTTATTAGTGTACTTTTAGTTATGTGCATAAAAAATACATGTTATTGCTAATAGCAGCTATTTTAATGTATTTATAATTACACTTTGCATAAAACATTTACTCTGTCTCATGTAAACTTCATGAGTTTACACAACACTTTTAGTGACTTTCTTGTTACTGTGACCTTTTTACACTAAATCGGTTTTTGAGTACTAATATAAAATGTCCACCAAAAGTGTTCTCCTTCATATATGCTTTCACAGTCTGTTAGAATAGTTCCTAGAAAATGTTACAGCTAGGATATAAAATATCTGAAGTTGAGATCTCTGAAAACTGAATATGCCTATAATGCCACATATTTTGTTCAGGTGTGAGATACTTGAAAAGTAGCATCATTTTAGGATCTACATTTCAGATAGTCTTTATATTTGGGCTTCCTATATTCATATTTTTAAAAATTCATAGTTTTTCAACCAAATAACAAAATGTCTTTGACTTTTAAAATAGTTTTTTGACTCCTCTGGCATCCCAACCTTATACTGTGGTAATACGTAGACCTTATATTTGAAGATATAAGATTTTCTTTCATTGTGCCAAGAGCAAGTGTCAAGATAATCTATTTAGTTTTGAGAATATATACATTACACCAGACGATCAAGCTGAATATGTCAAGTTAGCAATACGTAATGAGTTTTGTGGGAATAATTTTTTCTTGGTTCTTTGAATTTAAGAAGTTGCAAAAATAGAATGAAATATTCTTCTTGTTAAGATGTAATGTTCCTTCAATGTTTAGTAATAATCCAAAGTTCTCAAAGATGGCTAGCTAAAGAAAGATCACAGATGTATATATTAATCTTTTGCAATTTGTGGGTCAAAGCAGTATGGAGAGTCTGACTACTGTTCTAATTTTGATATGTATGTTGACTAGAGTTTAATAAAATATAGTGATTACCAAGCTATTGAAGGAGTGATTACACTGACCATTTATGACAAAAAATATTTGTTTTTTTCTATCTCTTTTTTGTATCTCCAACACCCAGCTTTCTACATAACCCCAGATAGTGACCTGGTCTGAATAAATGTTATTTACAGATTTATATTATACTCATAGAAGAATATCTTCTTTCTCATCTCCTCGACTATATTTGAACTTTCTTTAAAGTATAAACATGCAATAATTTTATCTCCCATAATCCCCAGAATAATACTGTAATTTTATCTCCCATAATCCCAGAATAATACTGTAGACATGGGTAAGTCATACTTAATGTATATTGATTAATGGAACATGTTGCAAAACAATTGACACCACTTGACTAATCTGGTTTGAAGAGTAAAGACAATTATGCTTATTTACATTATCTTTAACAGTGCTCAAGAATTTCAGCTACAAGTTTTGAATAAATTTGACACATTGTGAGAATCTTAACATGGCATAAAGGTATATAAATTTGAATTCATAAGACTATTTCCTCTGTAATCCTAGCACTTTGAGAGACCAAGACAGGAGGATTACTTGAAGCCAGGAGTTTGAGACCAGCCTGGGCAACATAGTGAGACTCCCATCTCTTGACAAAAAAATTTAAAAAATTGCTGAGTATGGTAGCACATGCCTGAAGTCCCAGCTCCCTCTGAGTGGGAGGCTCACTTGTGTCCAGGAGATCCAGGCTGCAGTAAGCTATGATCACACCTCTGCACTCCAGCCTGGGTTTATAGAGTGAGACTGTCTTAGTAAAAAAAAGAAATTAAAAAAAATGAAATCTAGATTTTTCTGTCAAATGGCTTTGAAACACAGCAATTTACAAGGGCACCCAATATCAGAGGGTAAGTGCTAAGCAGGTACTGGTGGTTTCTTGGTTTCTTTCTTACAGATGCATTCATTAGCTATGGACGTGACCATATTTTAGTGAGATGTGATAACTGTTCTGAGAGAGTTCACAGTCTTTGAAGTACTGACCCTATTTCTCTTTGCTTTCTGAAATGACCTAGATTTAAGAATATGTTCTGAAATATTTAAACTGGAATGTAGTAATGCTTTAATTTACGTTAAAATACTTCAACATAGATACTATGATCATGTGTGTATTAGGTTA